AAAAAAAAAAAAAAAAAAAAAAAAAAAAAAAAAAACCCTGTGCAACACCCAAAAGACAGGCCCAGGAAACGCCATCAAATGCCACGATAAGCGAGACGATAATGCGACAGCAATCAAAACAAGGCAACGATAAAATCATGTTTTTGTCTTCTTGGATGCCCCCTCTCCAGATGGTCCACTATCTGGAGTTTTACGCTTTCTGTCTTGTTCGTCTTCGCGAGCAAAGCCCGGACCAGTCTGGGCAGCAGGAGTCGGGAACGTCAGAGGACTTGGTAGCATGTTGGTATCTGGACCTGATCGACCAAAACCCCATTCGGGGAAGAAGCTGGATGGCGACGGTAGAAGGGCATCGGAAACAAAGCGACTAGGTAGGGCGGAAATAGGAGTCTCGATATTATTATTACTTGCGTATGTGGTGCTGTTCTGCGTCGCGGTCCCAGGCGGCGGTGGCCTTGCAAATGGATTTGGAGGCCCTTGTGCCCCAGCACTGAGAATAGCACCGGCTGAAGGCGACGGCGGGGGTAAAACAACACCAGAATGATTTGTCTCTGTGTTTGCTTTGGCAGGTGTTAGAGCTTTACCAGCTGAGTCGCGGGAAGATGAATCTGCCGTAGCGGTGTCCCGATCGGAATTTTCGCTTGGAATTTGCACCTTGAGCTGGGGTCGTTTCGACTGCACACTGTTTGTCCGCGTCGGTGGCTTGATGTCACTGGAAATAGATGAGATTGACTGGGTCCGTGATTCCTCTGTCACAACTCTCGGTGGAGGGGGTGGAGGAATCACAGGAGTCGTAGACTCGTTATTTGCATCCTCTTTTATCAACTCCGATTTCACATGAGTATCTGGGCGCGGCGGCTCGTTTGGTGGGCCTACCCCAAAATGGCGAGCAAGCACTGATCCGCGATCATCAATTGGCGTAAAGATACTGCGAGATTTGGACGAAAGCGAGCGTTGGTGTGTCGGGGGTGAGGGGTCCTCTTCTGGCTTCACTTGATCGGCAGCAGATGCATCAGGAAGTGACACCGTACGAGGCGGAGCAGGTTGCGGTTGCGGTGGTTCTGGCGCAAAAGCAGGCGGCATTGAACTCCTCCCCTGATCATGTATGTATGCGTGCGCAACCTGCGGCACTGGCGGATGAGAAAGCGTCATTGGAGGAGGCGGTTGCGCAAATGGGTGTGTATGGGGAGGGGCCATAGGATGTTGTGGTATTGACTGGGATGGCATCGTATGCGTTGGCATGGGTTGCGGCGTCAAGGATTGATGCGGAGGCTGCGGAGGAGGCGTTTGGTGGTGAGTCACGGGCGGAGGATGACCGAAATGTGGAAATGGACTGGGACGGTGAGGATGTGAGAGATTTGGGTGCGCGCTGGGATTGTACATCGCGTTGGGCATATATGAGAAACCATTTTGCGACACGGGCGGTGGTGCAGGGGGTGGTGTCGCATGCTGATGAGGCGCGAGATTGGAGCTGACTCGTCGGATATGATTCCTTGATGATGGGCGCGAGACTATCTGAGGCTGTGGGGTACCATGGCGAGGGGCAAATGGCATACCATTCGAAATCGGAGGAGAAGCAGACGGCGCATGATTTACATGCTGGAAACCGGGATGACTGGGAATGTGAGGTGGGGCCATGGGAGGAGGGCCCTGATGAGTTTGTTGTGTTTGCTGAACCTCGTCAGGTGCGGGCGTGGTCTCGTCTTCTTCGTCATCGTCATCGCGTTTACCTGCAAAATCTTCCGGTCCTTTGTGTTCGTGGGGAGGCCCAAACTGCAATAGAAGCGTGGTCAGCACATAACGTACATGGTGTAACTGCGACCAGAGAACAAACGCACATATTGATAACGGCCTAGAGTCTCACGCATATCACATGATGAAAACTCATACAGCTTCTTGTTGTGGCCGAAGATGATGACCGCGACATCGACGGAACAGAGTACGGCGAGTTCGTGCGCTTTCTTGAAAAGGCCGCCTTTCCGTTTCAGAAAGGTACTAGATGGAGAATATCAGCGTATGTCCCAGTCAGGGGAATGCATGAGACGTACACTGAGCGGTTGCGATCATCCTTGATCGCCTTAATCTCAATCTTTCTCCGACCCATGGAGAATGAGGCTGAATGAACCAGGGGGGATACTCGGAATTAGGCGTCGACCAAGCGGGGATGCAGCACAAATGCAGTTCCACTGATCTGGCAGGTTTTGATTGGGGATGGTAAGTTCCGAAGAGACCGTCGGCGCGTAGTTGAGAAGGACAGTAGTGTTATGAGACGACAAGGACAAGGGGGCGGGGGAGGTAAGGCGCCGATAAGGAATTTTAATTTTTTTTTTTTTTTTTTTTTTAAGGCGATTTGACGGGTGTGAAAAAGTCTGGCACGAGACAAAGAGCAAAAAACGATAAGATCCCCCAAAAGAAAGTTAATCCTGGATGGGGAAACACAGAATGAAAAGCGAGCGAGAGAAAACCAACGGTTTGGGCGATGCGCGGGAGTGTCGATTAGACGGTTCTAAAGATAGAAAGAAAACAGGACGAGAGAAATGGAAGATTAGGATCGAGTGAGGTGGAAAAGGGAAGTCTACTGCCGCCATTGCCGCTCGCTTACATTACTAACTATTAATAACCAGCCAGTCATATGCGAGTTCACACGCGATCCGACCCATCCGATATCACATCTGACATTTTATAGTAAGATTCTGTATACATTATCCCTGGCGTTAAGTTCAATTCAAAATATGACCGACATCTTCACTTTTATTTCGAAATGTTCTTGGGAATCACGGCGTAAGCATGCCATCTCTCTCTAAACCCCACAAAAGCCAATCGGTCAACAACCAAGACCAAGTCCATATATGTCTACCAATTGGTACATAACTCCTATGCAACGTTGGATTGAGGCCAGGAGCGTCGCCAGCTACTCTGGCTGTGATGGCACCTTTAGGGTACCAATCAGGCTATCTCGCAACAGCCAAAGGCTCCTGGTCGTCCTATCTAATGACGATGTCGTCTAGATGACAGTCCAACGTACTTCTCTTGCTCATATGCCTTTCTATATAAACCAAATTCTTCAGCATTTATTAGTTGATCAAGCCTGTCAAGTCTCTTGCTAAGAATTCCCTATCCGAATATCTTCTTGTTTTTGACTATGTCTCAGGCATCATCTCAGCAACCACTGCCGGGTTCCTAGCAGGGACCAACTCTTAACAGCCTCCTCCGCTCTAACCACTTTTCTGAGTCTCAAGTATTTGAAAGGTCCTGGGGAAGCTCGACCGGGAATCACGTCCGGGACGTTTTCGCCTGGCCCAACCCTATTCCATCCTATGTGTTCACCGACCACCACTTCCTGACGACATTTGGAGAGTCTATGCCTCCGACATTCCCTACAGATATCGATTACGCCTCAAGGCAGCGCAACAAGTGTCTTAAAATTGAGCAAGTCGCAGCTGGTAAATTGGGTGACTGATTGCCTTTGACCATCGGTTTCCAAACTAATCCACAAGGACCCTGGAAGTGAAGACGACCAATCAGGTATCTACAAAAGAACGCCATAGGTATTCAGCGTGCTTGTCTGTCATAGCTTTAGGGCTCGATATGGATGATAAAATTGATTAAATGATAATAATATCATCTAGCGTGTTTCGCTTAAAAGCCTGAATTCGTCAAACGTCACTGCTTGCTTTTCCTTCGTGTACGGAGCTGGGGGATACAGGAAAGTGACTACCTTGTTTCAAGTCGAACCAGCTAAAACGACCAATCGGGGTATTTGGAATGGCAGAGTGCTTGCTTCAGATGGAGCTCCCGACTTACAAAGGAAAGCGTGGGTTGCAACAGCGCAAGCTCGAGGGTGTGTGAAATCCCTATTATTAAAAAAAAAATTCTATTCGATTTTATTTTTGGATATTTGACTCTTGGCTCCATGGAATTTGACACACGCCAGGTCACTCTTCGATGGCAAAACTTTAGTCTGCATACAATTCTTCCACACAAACTACATAAACCAATTGGCCGGCCCACCTTAAAAGAAGTACTGGTGATCGAACGTAAGCCAAACGGCGATGAGGTCATACGCGATGGAAACCCAGAGACCGCATACAATGTGTAATGCGCTGTGTTCCATATTGTCTGTAGCGGGCTGGATAAGCAGGAACCGGCCTGGATGAACCAGGGACCAACAGGCCAACAGGAGGGGGACTGAGACGACCGTAGACAAAGTATCATGCCCTTTTAATTATTGTATTCTTTTTTTTTTTTTTTTTAACTCTTTTAAAGACTTCATGTACTGAGAGGCTGTTAGTAAATTCAAAATTTGTCGTCTGTCAGTTCATGAATCTTGAAGGAACACGATGGGTTAAGATGGTATAGGGCTCTTTCTTCCCTTATAAAACCTAACGCAAAAGTTTCGAGCATCTTCATCAAGCAGAAGCAATATTGTAAGACGAGAAAATGTAAGGCCTGGTCAAAAGGTGTTCTAACAGAATGCTGATGATCGAAGCCGATCCCCACCAGAAGCCCGAGGTCTCTAGATTGTATCCAATCCACTGAGCGAAGCCTTAATCCATATGTGTTCATACATCCTGTGGCTTCTTATAGGTGTATTCTTTAATGTCAATGATCCTCACTTGCAGAGTAGTAGAATTGTAGGTGATATTCTGAAAATCAGAGTCAGGGTGCACAAGCCCTGCGGCCATGCACCTCCCCGTAGCACACATAGCCCGTATAAGATGTATGAATTTGGCCTTCTCATCGTCCTGGGACGGGCATTCAAAGGTCCTCTGACCGCAGTTCTCCATAAGTAGTCCCCGCTTACCACGCAGGCTTATAGTCCCGTAGCATTTGGAAATATGCTTCCCTTGGAGACGTCTGAATAATTCATATACAACTAGTTCGACCTGAGGTATATATGCAGGGCGGTCTTCATCCGGATTTTCATTTTGTGCCGGCTTGAAGACATAGCAGTCGCCGTTCACAAACAGGACATAGTAGACATCTCGTTCGACAATGAATTGTTTGAATGTTGATCGAGTGTGCTTGAAGGTGTTTTGTGTTTGGCCTTTTAAATGACTAGAGAGGAAGCGAGAAAAATCCAACCTCAGGTCTTTTTTTATCACAAAAAGGACATGTGGTGCCAACACAACGAACGGAACCTCCGTTGTTTGATGGTGTTCTTGTGCGTCCAACCAGGCGTGGCGCTGTCTTTTTGATTACTAGAAACCCTGGTTGATCTCGTCCAATTGGCTAGCATTTTCAATCTGAGCGTTTTTCCCAAGTCCGGCTTGTAAAAATCAGGGACAGCGTCGAACCTGTACAGCCCCAGTAGAACGTGGTACTACTTTGTAGTAGTACTGTATATAAAGTACTTTTGCAGAGTAAGTTACTCTACGCTGTTCAACGAGTCGGGTGGAGTGTGATTTTCGTGATTACTATTCGGGTTTAGCGCGGTTAGCGCGTGTGACCCATCACGGACCGATTTGGATGTATCTCGTTTGAAGGCGGATGAAGCGATTTCGATGAGATGCGGCCAGATCGATACAATAATAGTGATGCATCATAGCAGAGAAGGACCGAGAAGAATAACACTGAATACTGAAGGCTAACTGCAAGTTCCCATCGTGCATACAGTGTGGTTGTCCATCCCGACTCCGTATACTCCGTATATTCCGTACTAAGATATCCAATTTTGATAAGATTGAAATAATAATGATGCCAGCATTCAACGGATCATAATGATCTTGTCAATTCAAGTCAATTGGCACTAAATCGGGTCTTGAACCATGGCCCGGTTTAGGGTGTTTGTCTACTAGGTATTATTACCCCTGAAACGGGCAACTGGCGCTCTTCTCTTTCTTTCTTCCTTTCCTCCTCAACCTCTTCCATCGTCCTCTTTCTCTTCTATTATCTGTTCACTTCTATTGATCATTATATGCCTTCTTTATATCAGGGCTCTCTCACCACTAAAGACTACCCATTTTAATACCAACCGCTATACCCCGCGTCGGACCGTTGCTGTGATTTTTTTTCTTTTCGGCGCCCTCGAGGCCTTGCAGGTGATCCTCGTGGGACACCAGGGTGTCTCTTTTGTTTTTTTATTTCATGTTTTATTTTTTTTAACCTCTATTCTTCTATTGCCTATTTTGTGTGTGCATCTTTATTACAGTCAATATCACTGCCCTGGAAAGACCACCTCGTCGCACGGTTCACTGTTGAATCCATCCACGCCCATACCTTTAACAGCCATAATAAATAATTTTTGTTCGGTTCAATTTTCTCCTTGTCCTACCAAAAGATACCGACCCCTCCCTGTCTCCTGCGAAAGAATGCCGTTTTTCACTCGTGTCTTTCGGGGCAAAGAGTCCGGTGCTGCAAAGAAGACCGCCAAAACCCCCGTGCCCGAAGATATCACCACGCCCGCAAAACCCATCTGGACAGACGCATGGCAGCGCACAGAAATTGCTCCTGAGGAGGTGCAGGAGCTTCTACGAGGATGCACGCACGAATTGAAGGCACGAGGTATGTTGATGGTTTGACATCAGAGTGATCCCCCTCCCCCTTTTCTCCTAGAGTTATCTGCATGACATGTGCATTCCTCGGATACGCTGATCACTAACGGTCTCCCTTGCCTGACAGCTCTCGACACCCCGTTCCTGTTATTGCCCTACCGTCCCAGCTCCGATGCCACTACCGCTCGTTCATTTATTCGCAATTACTTCAATAATTCTCAGGCTCGAGGCTCGCCCATCAGTGGTGATGATTTGGCACAGGAGCTTCGGCTCACGGACCCTATGGTCCTCTGCAGCGTGTTGAAATGGTGCTGGAGCAGGCTCCCTGGCGGAGTTGTTACCTGGGAAGCATACGAATTGTTCAAGGTTGGCGAACAAGGTATACCTCCATCTACAGGTACGGCATTTGCGAGGAGCTACGCTGATACATTCGTCTCTAGATTCACAACTTGCCCGAGATGCTTTTTCCACGTTCATCCCTATTAGCATCGATTCGGATGCACGAAGCAAGATCATCTTCGATTTCTTTGACCTCTTGACTGCCATCGCAGCGCACGGCAAGTCCAATGGATTGGGTGGGCGAAAGCTGTCGAGATATGCTGGGTGGTGGGCTTTCGAGCATACGGACACGGGCAATGGTTTTGAAGCTGCCTACAAGAACTGGGCTTGGTATGTCTCCCCCAAAATTTTGATCTCGAAGATAGATACTAAACCTCGTGTTCAGTGCTGCAGACGCCACGAGCCATCTGTTTTTTGCCTATCTCCGCTCGATCTCCCCTGATTTGCCGCGTGGTATGGGCGGGATTGCAACACTGCCAATTGCTCTCCAGTCGCTGGTTCAGGCGACTGAGTACCCGCCTGAGACACCCACGCTGCTTCAGGTGACGACCACCAAAGTTGTCATGATCGTGGATACCGTCTCCCCTACCCCCTTTGCCCTCCTGCGACGTGCGAAAAACTTTGAGTATCGGGATAGCGATCGCCACCTGCAGGAGTTCTCTGGATTCGAAGACCCCATTCGGGCCCTCACAGACGAGTGTTTTCGCGTGCTGAAATGCATCGCCTCGACCAACCAGGCTGAAATCACGAAAGAGAAGACCTCCCCCAACCAGGACGAGTCGTGGTCTCGCTTTGAAGACATCGGATTCGGAAACACTCTGGAGTCGGATCTCGAAGACAACACGGTCCGGCACGAGTTTGGCAATGGCCTGAAATTTGCTCCCCAGTCCGGCGGAGGAGACCTAGGTCGGCCAACGACCCCTTCATGGGCTGATTTCATGTCATCTGGTTTCTCGGGAGATGAAAACATCCTCAAGTCCCCTGTGGCACCTTTGCTCCTGCCTCCAGATAAGGTCCTGCCGCCGCTCTCGACGGGGCGAGGGATGAGTTCCCAGTCCCACAGACGGACGTTGGAGTCGGAGCCCGACCTTGGACCGGGCGAGCTGGCCAGTATCGCCAATCTGGAACTGGATGATTCATTCTGGTGGGTTTGGATCAGCAGCTTGGCAGGCGAGGAACCTGCCACCCGCAAGGCCGTCTTTGGTCGCTGTGCGTTGATCGAGACGGTCATCCACGGAGCCAAGTGGCTCGTTCTCGAGGAACAAGTCAGGGGCGCCGCTCCGGAGCCTGATGTGGGTGCGTACATCGTGGAGAAAAAACGGTTCTTCGGACTATCGACGCGCATGGGCAAACTTGGCCGTCGCAGGTCTTCGGCCAAAAAGGTGACTCCAGCTGGGGAGCCATACAAGCAGACTGATAACTCAGCTCCCCAAAGCAAGACCAGTATTGGCCCTGACCAGCACGCCCGGATCCAGGTCGCCGCGGCTGCTTTGCAGAAGAAACATCGCGATCAGACACAGGAGGGAAACGCCAACACGACCAAGGTCGACAGCGCCGATGCAGCCAGATCGACCAAGACAAACTCCGTTATGACTCTACAGCCTTCTATCATGAACGAGGCCTCTCATGCCATGAAGTGGGCCAAGAACTACGATAAGCATACGGATAAGAATGCCTTCCGCACTGCCTATCTGGGCGACAACAATGCTGGTAAGGGAGCATCAGCGAATACTCTCAATCATCAGACGGTGGACGAACCCAGCACACCAGTGTCGCTGGCTCCTAGCCAAATTCCTGAACCCATTCCCGAAGAAGACCCCACTCCGGCGCCAAGCTCGCCTGCTGCCCCAGCTTCCATCAAGAGCAATGCGGTCGCTGCTGACCAACCTGACGCCAGCCGGCCAGGCAGTATCGCCAGCGCTGCAGTGGAGCGGTCTGGCTCTGAATCGCAACCCAAGGCATCCATGGATTCCACGGATGATCATAGTAGGAAGCTGCTGAAGAAGAAGCCTGTCGCCTCAGGCTTCAAGAGCATGTTCGCAAAGAAGAGGAATGAAACCGAGACGAAGCCCCCAATGAAACCAACCGGTGCAGAGACTTCTGCCGTTGCTGCGGCGCGTGCAGCTCTGGAAAGCAAAGCCAAGGAATCCCAGGCATCTGCCAATCGCCCAGTGCCTAACGGGCCCTCTGTTTTGAAGAAGAAGCCCGTTCCTGGCACAACACCAGCAGCGCCAGAAAAGCCAGCGACGCCGGAGGTTGTGGAGATCACGGAAACCGAGCGCGAGTCCACCCCCAAGGCTCAGAGTCCTGTGCAGAATGGCTCTCCGGAGTCTAAGCCGGAGCCGGAGCAGCAGGATATTATTTCCCGGGTGAACACGAAGGAGCAGGTTGCTGCGGACCAGGAGTTTTCCCGATTCGATCAGGGCCCTTTGATGGAGCAACCCGCCTTTGTCCCAGAATCCCCCGTGTCGCCCGTCGAGAGCATTCCGGAGAGGGAGTCTGTTTCGCCCGAGATAAACGAGACAGAGGAGCCCCGGGAGACTCGGCAAGAAACCACCCCCAAGGGCACAGCAAATGTCAATCAGTTTAATCCCGAAATCAAAGACCGGTGGGCGCAGATTCGCGAGAATGCGGCGAGACGAGCTACTGAAGACGATGGTGATACCAGTGAAGAGGAGAGTAAGTTGCGCACACCATTGAAACTCTGTTTGAATGTTGCTGACTGTAGCCAGACTATCAACACCGTGCTGCTCGAATCAAAGCACGAGTTGCCGAGTTGACCAGAAATATGGAAGCTGCACGTTAGCTTCCCGTTCCTTAACATTTACTTTCTCTCTGATATCCATTTCTTCGATTCTACCTTGCTTGATGTTGTACAGATACGCGCCGTGCCATCTACGAAAGCGCTATCTTGTCTTTATTTGATTTCTTGTTTACTTCGAGTGACAACGAGATATCCTGTGGCGAGTCACACATACACTGTGTGAGGACTCCCGATATACGCCGTGATGCACTTTATTTAATTTTCTTGTTTGATTGATTCCCCTTCTGTTGTTTGATTTAATTGATACATTGTGGTTATTTTATGCGTTTAGCTAACAAGATTTCTTTTTTTTTTTTTTTTTCCTTTTAACCTTATTGATTATCTATACTCTCTGTCAACTCCGTAATAAGTAATACCAGTAATATTCATGTCAGATCAAGTCACCATCACTCCAATCTCAGAACCCCAAGAACCTCCCTCGCAACCCCCGCCGCACTCGCCGGATTCTGTCCCGTAACCACAAACGCTCCTCCCATCCCAGCCCCCGTATCCACACTCCTTGACACAACCACCTTCTTCCCCCATGCCTTTTCAGCCTTCAAATACCCTCCCTTACGTCCACCAGCAGCTGTCACCCGCTCAAGCTCCGTCTGCAACTCAAACGGCAACACATCATGCATGCCTATGATTTCCTCCTCTTCATTCGAGAAGCCGGTTACCGTACTGCCAGATAACAGGGGAAGACCAGAGGGCGCGGTAGCATTAAGCAGCGCAGCGGTGCCGTGGCATACCGCCGCGATAACCTTTGGATCGGGACTGGATGTAGAGGCGAGTGATTGCAGTATAGCAAGATTAGACGGGTGCGTAGGCAAATCATACATCGCTTCTCATATCGTCCATTAGCACACGAAGCAATCATCATAACTCTGGGATATGCGCAATCCAAACACAAGGACAGGGGAAGACGCACGCCCATGGCCCCCCACGTACAATACACCCACAAACTCCCCCTCCGTAACGCTACGTACGACCTCCCGTAACGGAGTCGTTCTCGTCCAAAGACCACGATTCTGCTCTAGAAACTCTCGCGCCACGGGATCGTTCTCTAGGATTTGTGCGCTGGCAGAGGAGGGATCTAGGGGTGCTTCGCCCCCTTGGGGGGAGGATATTGTTAAGTTTAGGTGGGGGGAGAGGATCGTGTAGGGGTGAGCTAGTTCGGACTTTTGTTTTGTTTGTGATGTTAGTCTGGGTTGGTTGTTTAGGCCGGGTATAGTGTAGACGGTGGATAGGGGAGGTGAGGGAGAGGTACCAAGTACCAGCCAGTTATTGCGCGATTGGTTGGGATCATGTCCTGGGAGGTTAGGACGATGAGGAATTTTGGTTTGGACATTTTTCTTTTTTCTGGTTTCTTTGGGTCGGTTATAGGAGTGTTGTCTAGTTAGATGGAAAGTAGTAGTGTGTATGGGATCCCCGGAGACTGACGTAAGAATTATATTATTAGAGCTAGTAATATACAGAGTACTATCGTATACCCATAACTTGCAGTACTCATCGGGTATCAACAGATCATGGATGAATAACATGCATCGTGACGAACAGAAGAAAACTAACCCGGGAGAGGGAAAGTGCACTACCTCGCATATCTCATCCTTCTCGTGGCTTCAGAAGCTACCAATGCACTCAGGGCACCGATAAACAAACACACCGAGATAGCATTTGGCGAGTTTTTATCCAGATTCATCCACATTGCTTCCTGCGAGTTGTCGTCGCGCTTGGCGTTTGCTGGTTCCAGGACGCTAAAGACGATCCAACTAATGAATGTGCCGACGAATTGGGGGAGGGTTGTGTAGACGTTTAGCACGCCAAGGTAGATTCCGGCGAGTTCACCGGTGGACGGGACGCTGGAGGTTACATCTTCATCTTCAGAATCACTGTCCACACCATGGTGGTGGTTTAAACGGAGAACGTCCATTTCTGTGTCTGTGTTTGGGTCTGCATAGTTGCCTGTGCGGATGCTGGAGGAGGTGATCATTTGGACACCAGAATAGCGCGCGGTTAAGGAAGGGTCCATGGCGAGTTTGTTGATCTCCACGCCCATAAATGCAAATGGTGCCCAGGAGGTCACAGCCCATGGGACACCACACACTGCGACCAACGCTGTTGCAAAGGCGCGGGAACGCGCAAACGGCGCCATGATCATTGTTACCGCAAATACAAAATGCGACATCCACCACGTCGTCTGGAGGTCGGGTCGGATTGCCGTGATCTTCGTGAGCAACGCTGCGACTCCTGGTGGTGGGCGCGGAGTAAATCTCGATCGTTTGTGATCGGGCGATTGGACACAGAACGGCAAAATGACAGATCCGACAAATGTGATTGACGAGAATACAACCAACGACAAACTGCCAATGCGACCGACTTCGCCAAGAATGTCGTCTGATTGAGTCGTTCCTTTAGGTACCTCATACCGGAAGTAGGTTTCGCCAACCCAAGTAGTACTGTAGAAGAGGAACGGGAACCAGCCAATCCAAGCCCAAAATTGGGCCCAGCAGATAGCTTGAATGCGGGGTGGTAGCTCCATGGTGGTCTTGAGTAGTTGAGAGATCACCTGCATGGCGCCTGCTTCACCATCACCATCCCTGTAATGGGTCAGCTGCATCCATGAATCATGCTTGACATGAAGTCTTACCTTGCTGTGATCAATATTCTCTCCTTCACCGAATAGGACGTGACCAGGACAGACGCGATCAGAAAGAGCGCCGCGATGACCGTCATCTGCTTGAATTGCGTATCACCCAGAAAAGAGCCGAGTATTCTGACCGTGTCGATTGAGCCGACACCATAGCCAACAAGTTGTCCAATGGCTGACATTCTGCCCGCTTCACGTTGTTAGCTTATTCCTTACGTCTGTAAAGAAGGACGTACCCCATGCTGATCCGGATTGCTGTAACGGAATTGGTAATGTGTCGACAATCAAACTGCGACAGCATGCTTGTACTGCGCGGTGTCAGAACGTTCTAAACTAGAAATAGGATTGAGGACCTACCGATATTGATCGCAAAATCGACTGCGTAGATACTCAGAACCGCAAGAGCAATCGTGGCGCTCTGGGACTGCTAACCGTCAGTCCTACCCAGATAACAAAAGTTCAGCCAGGCATACCTTCTCCGGATCCTTGACGAACGCGTTGACAATCTCCGACGTCCATCCCAGCAACAGCAAACATGCAGCGACAATTAACGAACCCACAATCATGAATGGCCTGCGTCTCCCAAATTTCGATCGAGATCGGTCCGCAATAACGCCAATCAGAGGTTGAATGACCAAACCCGAGAGAGGACCAGCAATCCACACAAGCGACGTTCGGGACTTGGTGAGACCAAGCTGAAGGAGGTACGGGGTACAGTCTATCCCGCAAAATCACCAATTAGAGAAGAGGGTTCTGAGGAAGCTTGGAATGGGCAACGTACACGTCATCTCAATACTCCAGGTAAATCTGTCGCAATGGAGTCAGCCTTGCCTCATCAACACACCAGCATTCCGTCTAAAGACGGCCAAAGACCAGAATACGCACTGTAAACCCAGCAGACTAAATGTCAACAGAGCCATGCGCGCGGACTCATTCCGTCCCTTAATTGACGGCGTGCCCACCCATCTTGCAGCCTGTGGCATTTTGCTTTCCTAAGTGCCGGCATGCACCTGCTATAACCCTTTTTCAACACTGTATATCACTCGATTCCGCAATATAGTGGTGGTCTCGTGCGCAATTTATGACGAGGGGTCTTCTCCAAATTTTGCGGAGGTTTCAGGGTCCTAGGATGTGGAGATCCGATATTGGTCGATCTGAGAGCGGTGCTCAACAACGAACAACGACGAAGGGGAATTGTATTCGTAATCTCGAAGAATTGAGTATCGTGAGAGAAGGAAAAAGGGTCAATCGAAAGGGTGCAAGCGTCAGCAGACAGACGAAACCGCCATGCAAAACACAGCCGCGGCCGAGAATAATCCACGTGCGTCGCAAGGCACAGATCTGCGGGAGATTTGACGCAGTGACTTGATTGTTTCAACAGTTTCAATAGGTGTCGCGGGAGGGAAACAGTCGGACAGGGAAGAAAGAAGGGAGAGAAGAACAGGAGGACACGAAGGACGCTCTGTAGAACAATCGAGGGGATAGAAAAAAGATGAGCCGAGACACAACACCACAAGCACTGCGGGCCCCCGGGCCGTCATTCGATGCTGTTAATTTCGTGCCCTGCAGCAATCCGACCCGCCGTGGAAGGTGATTGACAGGGTGCTGCCATGTGGCTGACATTCAAGTACGTACATCTTACACTTCAATTCATACAATTCTCTACAATAGATCAGACATTGGTATATAATTGCATTCGGAATTGACCTGGTTATGTCAGCAAATCCGACTTGCCGATTGGCCGTGCTAAAATAGCCGTCGTCTTTCCGAAAGGAATATTTATGCCTCAGGCCACAATCTATTTATGGAATAATTCTGGTGTTCATAACTTCCGTGTTCGTTTCTAAAAACTGGCTTATAAAACAAGAAACAGAGATATCATTGCCCGGCCGTCCACCCTCGAAAAGAACTGTCCTTCATTGTCGTCATATCGACCCAGATTCCGTCATCATGCCATAAAGAAAAAACGTGTAATCGACATTACTTTTTCATTTTTCATTAATTGTCGCGCCTCCTCTACAGCCGGTTAGGAGCAGAGGTCATGGGCCACTGGTACCCAGCAGCGTCGCTGAACTTGTATCCGAACGATGCGGTGAAGTCGTCGAGAACAGCGGGGCCACGAGAGCCTAAAAAAATTTGTCAGTTCAGTGTTCAGTCAAATCCAAGGACGAAAGCCGAACATACCGTAGGGGTATTCCATGGGGATGATCTCCTTGTTATCATCGAGGTAGTGAAGGAGAGGAGTAAAGATTCTCCAGCTAGCATCTAGTTCGTCGTCACGGACAAAGTTCGAGTGGTCACCCTTGAGGGCGTCGAGAATCAGCGACTCGTAAGCCTCGGGGATCTTAAGATCGGAGAAGCGGCGGCGATAGGTGAGGTCAAGCTCGGTGACAACAGTCTGCATGGAAAGACCGGGCAGCTTGGAGTTCATCTTGGTGTAGATCGACTCGTTGGGCTGCACACGGATCACCAGCTCGTTACGAGGAATGTCCTTGAAGATGCCGGAAGTCACGTCACGGAACTGGATACGGATCTCGGTCTTCTGCTCGTTGAGGGCTAAAAGCCAGTTAGATATAGTCATATCAGAGACAAAGCTATTAACTTACCCTTTCCGGCCTTCATGATGAAGGGAACACCATCCCACCGCTCGTTCTTAATGTAGGCGGCCATGGCGCAGAAGGTAGGGCAACGAGACTCCTTGGGGACGGTGTCGTCCTCCTTGTAGGCGGGCTTGCTGCCGTCGAGCGACTTGCCGTACTGACCGATGATGACGTTCTTGGGCTCAATAGCGTCCATCGCACGCAGGACACGGACCTTCTCGTCACGAATGTCCTCGGCGGAGAAAGAGATAGGACGCTCCATAGCGAGCAAGGTCAACACCTGCAGAAGGTCTTGTCTAGAGTCAGTGCTGTTCTATTATTGATCGATAGGCTGGCGCATCAAACATACGGTTCTGCATGACATCACGGATGATACCGAATTCATCGAAGTAACCACCACGGCCCTCAGTGCCGAATGGCTCCTTGAATGTGATCTATTGACGAATTAGCGCATGCACACTTGGCTTGCGGCACTCATTGCAAACATACCTGAACGTTGTCGATGTGGTGACGGTTCCAGGTGGCGTTGAAGAACTCGTTGCCAAAGCGCATGATGAGGATGTTCTTGACCATCTCCTTACCCAGGTAGTGGTCGATACGGAAGATCTCCTCTTCCTTCCAGTTGGGCTCGAGGGCCTTTTGGAGGTCGCGTGAGCTCTGTAGGTCCTTACCGAACGGCTTCTCGACCTATTGGAAACGAATCATGAGTAACCGTGTCCACTTTATCCTAGCGAAGGGGATAGAGGCAAAGCGACGTACGATGATACGGGCGAGACCGTTCTTGGGGTAGCAGTTGCGCTTCAATTGGTCGGAGACGGTGATGAAAACACTGGGGGGCAGAGCCATGTAGAAGACTCTGTGCTGCTCCTTCTGGCCCTTCTCGACTTCATCGAGGTGGTTGTTGAGGTTGACGAAAGAGTCGTCCTGATCATATTGACCGGAAACGTAGGTGCAGAGCTTGCAGAAGCTGTCGAGCTGCTCTTCAATTTCCTTGGTTGGGACCTTGATGTAGGATCGCACACGCTTAAGGTATTCCTCCTGGTCCATCTTTGTCCGGGCATATCCAACGATCTTGATATCCTTGGGAAGGAATTTGTTGCGGTACTGCGAATGGGTTAATGGCTGTCATGTCGGTTTCCTTTGGGTATCTCAATCACATACAAGACCAAAGAGAGCAGGGAACTGTGTATATGGTTAGTGATCTTCAATCTGATTGTCTCTCATGCGGGGATGAGGGGTAGGGGATGAACATACAGTCTTCTTCTTCGCCAGATCACCCGAGGCACCTAGGACGACAATAACGGTGTTGTCCTTGAGCTCAATTGTGCTGATGTTGGCAATCCACTGGTTAGCCATGATGCGCGATTGAATGGACGAAGTGGTTGTGGTTCAACAGCGGGGCAGACGACGAGGAAATTTGACGGAATATCGAGACGCAGCAGCAAGAAAACAATAATAGAAAGAAAAGAAAAAATTCAACAAGAACCCCAAAGCAACATGAAAGCAGCGACAACGTTCATGATTGAATGTCCTCGAGGAATCGCACTCGAATCCCAAATTCCTGGCGATAGGAAGGAAGGTGCACCGCGGGCAGTGATGTCAGAGAGCAGAAGGAAAGAAAAACTCACCCAGCATTCTGGCGCTCGTCAGACCGTGTGATTGTGCTGGCCATTTTGGTATGTATATCGACAATGGAAGAAAAAAAACGACAGAGAATGGGATAACAGATAGAGAAGAAATCAGGAGAGGAAATGAAGAAGAGAGGTTGAGCGTCTCCCACCAGTTCCGGCGGAGCAGGTGTACTTTTTAACGCCGAACAGCAGGGGTGGGGCCGCTTACGGAGGTCTCTTTACTGTCTCCTACAAGTATATCATTTTCTATTCATCTAATTCTATGAGAATGTTGTAAAAGATACCCAAAAGTAGATGCTCACTGTTTTATCTTTTCTCAATTCTAACCCCAGAATACATAAATTTCGATTCAATATTGTCAATGCTGACACTGTCATACTGATTTCAAAAGGTTCCAGCGGAGACTCCACCGGACCAGAAGTGACGCTATCTCTATACGTACTGAGAATGTCCAGTATTGACCTGTCCTCCTATGTACGGAGTATCTGTATCTGTATTCTGTAAGTGTTTGCTGACACCGCGCATATTCAGCCATTGCCGCTTCTAGGTTATTGCAGGGATTATTCGGACGAGAAAAAGTATCATGCTAACTGTACCCCGTAGCAAAAGTAAATGTAGAAGTATTGTCCGTACCCTGCAAGTACAGAGCAGAGTCAGTATCGGAGGACAACACTCCCTCCTATGCGGAACACACGGCTTCACTAATAATACACCACTCTACATGACAGAATTGCATACAGATACATACTTACGTACCCTGATACACGGAGATCTCCCCGCTCTCATAAGACACTCCCTTTTGTATATAAAGACGGACTCGCCAGCTCCGGAGACTTTCTTCTCCCCTCCGTTCTACGGCCTCTGCTCTCGTGCCGATAACCCCTCCGAAACCCAGAGTAGGCAATGGAGGTGGACGGGCATTTGTCATCGGCCCCAACGACACCATACGGATTCTATTTTCCCGTGGACACTCAGCATTCGGGCCTGGGTCGATCGGAATCAACTGATTGCTCTGTACTTCGTACCGGAGGACCCTATGGCGGGCATGCCGCCGATAAGACGTTTGCCCTACTCTTCCGTACTCTATCCCATACCGTTTCCCTAAACCGTCCGCCTTACAAATCTGTCATCAACGATACATACCGTACGGATAATCATATAGTGGGGCAACAGAAAAAAAGAAGAAGAAAACGGGCTTCCCAATCAAGGCTGTCGGTCTGAAAGTCCATTTGCCGCCGGTGCCAGGTCGGTCGACTGTCCTCCGCCGCCCCCTCTGATTTGCCGGAGGGAAATCACGTGATGAAGCCTTAGGTGTACATTCTAGATACGTCATTCCGCCATCACTTGGACTCTGCAGTAACGCTCGGATCGAAACGAAGAATCTTTCCCCCCTTTCTCGTAATGAGCAGAACCTGTTTCTCCAACTTGTACTGGTACCATGTACACTATTGCAAGAAGTTACCACCCCATGCAGTGGATGAAGTCATCCAGCATTCCTGACTTGGCGCCAGGGAAGGATTCATGGAATTAACCGGCAGATTCTGAGTGCACTCTGTGCAGCGATGCAGTTATCCCAACTCGGTAGCTGGAAGCATTTTGGTTGTCCCGAACAGAGCAATCGTACTTTGTCCGATCAAAGACCAGGGATCCTGGTATCGTCCGCAGCGGTACATGTTCCAAGTACTACTATGAACAAAGACTTAACCATGATGCCCTGCTTCATGAGAGGGGTTGTCATTTGGGCTGTCTTATCCATTGGCCGTGTTCTTGTTCAGTGTACAGCATTTCGGAATGATTTAAGATCTCCCCGACAACTGGCAATCCTTTGTCCGCAGATCACTATGGTTGAGGGGCCAAACCGACACTTGTTGATACTCACGGCTAAATGCAGGAAAAGTTGGCAATCCAGCCATTGCGGCTAATTCATGACCGGCATGCTTATTCTAAACTAGCAGAAGTACCGCTAAGGACAGCTACCTGCATAGTCATGCTCATTGCAGAGTGCGCTGTATTTTGTTTTCAAATCTTCAAGGATTTGGTACCTACCCCAGGGGTTATTCGTTGTGTCTGTACATACTCCGTAGAAACCTTAAAAGCCATCTGCACAGCGGGAACAATTCCGAACATCAATCCGATAAGCTTCGATATCAGGGCGGGGAAATCAACGATAACGATAAGACCTGAGGAATTAATCCGTAAAAGGATAATCAAATTATCCGCCGCTAACCACAAGCGGAATAGCCTGTAATCCATCACGGGACCTCAACTAGCCCTTACTGATCCGCTCGCTAAGCAACCCGTTTGGGGTTAGGGCGAGCCGCGCCCGAACACACCCTCGCAAATTGAACATTGTGCGGTCGTACCTCAATACTCCGAATCAGAAGCGAGACGACAACCACGACAACCCGGACGACTTTTTGCGGGTCATTTCTGCCTCTCTTTTTCTCCCTTGTTGCCCGCTGTTGCTCAGAGAAAAGCCGTCAAAATGCCTTCGGAACACGGTCACAGACGTGAGTGAGATCCTGATATTTGATTTGGATATGTCGGTTATGGCGCGGTCGGAGAACCTGGGAACTATGGAGGAACATTTGGGAATTTGAAAAGCGCGTGATGGGAACTAGAATATTGTCAGAATGTGCTAACTCGTTTTTCTTTCTCGATCGCAGTTTACGTTAAGTAAGTTATTCCTAATTGTTTTCACGTCGCTCGATGTCGCGCACAAACGGTGGATATCATACGGGTTGGAGTCATTTGGGAGGAAACGAGGACATCGAAACGAAACTACGGGAACAACGATTAACGCGATTCTCTCACCAGGGGTCGTCACCTGAGCTACCAGCGCTCGAAGCACCAGGTCAACCCTAACACAAGTCTGATCAAGATCGACGGTGTTGACAACACTGACGCCGCCAAGTGAGTACCGCGGAGGACTCTTTCGAAGGGGACATATGGCTAAACGATGGATAGCTTCTACTTGGGCAAGAAGGTTGCTTTTGTCTACCGGGCAAAGCGTGAGGTCCGGGGTTCCAACATCCGGGTGGTCTGGGGCAAGGTTACTCGGTCGCACGGTATGTCTGGCGCCATAACTGGCAGAAGGGAAGGATGTAAAGGGCAGAACTAACAATGTACAGGTAACTCCGGTGTTGTCCGCGCTCAGTTCCGCCACAACCTCCCTCCCCAGTCGTTCGGTGCCTCCGTCCGCGTCATGCTCTACCCCTCCAACATCTAAACAAATTCTACGGTTTTATGTATCAGTGGGCACTCCGAGAAACTTCGCGCAGACAGACGGGCCAAGGAGTCGAACGGTACGAATTCCGACCAAAATGTTGAGGCGATGGAGTTTGGCGGGTTGATATCTACTATTACTACGTTCGTGGGAGAGGCAGGGCCAACAAAGCCTAACGAATAAAAGAAAAAGCAAACTTCTTTTCTTCTTTTTTCTGAACTTGATTGATCCCCCTGACCCTTTCATTTATGGTGTTTTTTATAATGTCAGCAATGTCAGCTCGAGAAGGGCTTGTTTGGACGGACTCTATTGGGTTTGTCTGACAAACATGGCTTCCTCCCCATGTGTATTTGACGATCTACAACCAATCCATCCATCAACTGTCCAAATTTTGCTATGAAGTATGACCTGATAAGCACCGCCTGCGCCATTCAAAAACATCTCGGCCACATTCTCAAAGCGATCCCGCATGACCTGCGCTTGAGGCTACCATTATGCATTCTGCTTTCCGTCATTCAGCCCATATCTTATTCACCGAATTTTCCCAGAGCCCATGAGTATGAAATACGTATTGGTTGTAGAACGGGCGCTCAATCGTGGCGACAGTAGCACAACTCGAACTCACTATTCGCGTAAGCCGGTACCTCTGGCATTCTACGTAGCCGTCATGCGCCCACTCAGCGTCTGTCGCTAAGCGATACCCCAGACCAATCCCATTCTCCACTTCTCTGGGGAACGAACGGACGTCCAGTAGGGTCAGATACTGGCCAGGCCCATTATTATATTGGACGGATAAACAAGCAGAGTGTGGGAAATACGTGGTAGTTTCGTAAATATGTATTGTTAATAACACTCGTTATTCTGTCCTGGTAATTGTTCAGTGTTTGTTGTGCAAATGCTCTGGCCCTATATATATATATTGAACCGGCCGACAACTGAAACCACTTCCCTCACAATGTACCTCCACTTCTCAGTTTGGACATTATTGCTACCTGTAGATGATAGGCGGGGGTGTCCGAAAAAAGTATACCTGATGGTATATAAAGGTGATATAATAGGAAGGAATCAAAGGATTGAATTAGACGAGGAGCTAGAATACAGGAGGGCAGTATGGCCGTGTTTACAGACCATCTCATAAAGACTCTATCTAGAACGTTCCCTGTAATGCATGATGGGCAAGGGTTGAATGTGAGGAGAGAACGATTATAGCCTTAGCATATAAACGATTATATGTTGATACTACTTTACTGTTATCATCATCTTTCTTTATATAATAGGTATATCAGAAAGCGATCTACATCCCATCGGATAGCTAAAGACGACATATCCGCAATGCAGAAAAGCAACCAATTCGACACAGATCAGGGCATATCAGAACATGGCGTCATGATTCCGCTAGCAAATTCCCCTAATAGGTCAACGACGCTGCATATACGCGTATGGAATGGCGTCTATAACTAATTATGTAACCTGAAATTACTGCCTCGCCTTACTACAACTATTTTCTGCACAGTGGATAATAGTTTTGCTATAGGTGAGGCTCGAGTTGTCGGCCAATTGGCCTATCGGCCAGCAGGTTTTAATACACGCGCTACATCCTCGAGTACTCCTTCTCCTGACGGCGTCGCTTAACGAAACGCAATTGGATAAAACCACCTGGAATTATACAAGGCAGCTTAACCAGTTTCTCAGAATACAACACTAACTCCGAATGTCTGGTATCAGTCTATGAAACCTATACGAAGGACTAGGTCCTCGGAACAAACAACCCTGTGCCATGCATCATCCTCGACCACAAGACTTTACAGAAGTCTATCTTGGCGCATAGGGGACAATGCAGATCCGACCTACATGCGTGTCACTGGTATCCGCCAGAAGCTTTGCGGGTTTGCATCAGATCGAGGAAATCGAAGCAGAAGGAACTGAAAGGGGCTCTTTTAGGGATAATTTCCGTAATGGACAACAGCGGTTTGGAAATCGAGCCTTTATTGCGATTGCAACACAATGTAGCAGATGCGTGGACATAATGTCATCACGTTCTACCAGTCAACTATATCCAAACGGTTTCTGAGGATGACGGGGAAGATGGCGTTGCTCATGTCGACTGTTCTCTTTTCTTGGTATTCCTCTCCCCCCGTGTCCCACTCCGTGCTTGACCGGGCTAATAAGTGCACAGGGAGTCCTAACCAGCCCATTTGGAGCCCTAAGCGTCGAGAAAGCCGGTCGACGCAAACTCCTCATCCTCTCCTTTGCGGGTATGGGCATCTACATGGCTGTAATATGTGGCTGTATCTCGCAGACTAACAGCCACATCGCCGTGCACGCAGCTATGGCATTCATGATTCTTTACGTTTTTTTCTTGGACTCACATACTTGTACCGCTCAGAGATCGCTCCACACGCGTCCCCACGCAAACCACGGGGATGTTGACGGTATCGTCGTGGACGTTTAACTTTTTGGTGACAGAGATGATGAATGGACTTAGCTCGTTGGGGTGTATGCGGCTATAGATTTGCGGTTGTTGGTCATAGTGCATCCGCTACCTCTCTTTTTCCTCAAGAGTATGGGAAGTGTTGACTGCTTAGTAGCGTGTTTTCCCTCCTGAGATGAGACCATTGACACAACCTACATATATTCCGTGTGGTTCGAAAGGTACAAAGACAGCAAGGTATTGTGTACTGGGACCACGGGCGAAGTTGGCAGAGGATCAGCTACCGCCAAGCATAAGCTGGATTGAGTTCTGACTCTGGATTAATTAAATGCTGACCCACAGTATGGAGTAGATCTTTTTATTGATATGGTTGATCTGATATAAAGTATGAAGTTGGCGTATGTGAATTTAGACACTGTACTTGCAGACTTACTACTACTATATACGGAATAAGTCCCCGACACCACCATCAGTACCTTCGAGAATCGATCGATGCAACAATGGCTTGTACCTGACTGCATAAATTTATGCAGGCGTATGCAAAGTACTTCGGCACTTTGCAATCCACACTTTTGTACAGCTCAACGCCAATTCTCCTATGTATCAGCCAGTCTTCAAGAGAATACAACAGTCTACCCTAATTTACTCTATTAGGTACTCTAATGTGGTCTGCTCTACCTATCTCCTTCTATAAAGCACTCCGTACTTTTGTACGCAGTGCTTTATAGAAGTGACCAGTGAATGCCGGGATTAGTCAGCTCTTTGACGCGACCCACGGATCGGCCGGGGCCCCCGGACCAATAAGAGTATATTATGGCTGTGGCTATGTGGTCAGCCAATCAAAGCTGAGACTGTGATACACATGGATGTATTTTTAGATAATTTTTTTTCTCGTTCCAGCATTTGTATACAGAGATGAAGAAAGAATTGTGTTGCCATGATAGAATAGAATATAACACTATAGATGGAGTAGTATATGGAATAGGATATCAATAGCACAATTAGAGAGATAAGTGAATATGACCAATATCTGATCAACATCGCGGGCTGTTAGGAAATGCGCTGTTCTTGATGAACCGCCCCTCATTGCGTGGCACATGGCGTCAACTGGACGAACGCCGATACAGTTCAATTTTTATTCATCCGATATCTGCCTCGAGTCTCGTCTCTGTTTTATTCATTTATTCCCCCGTCTTTCTCTTGCATTGTGTACACTGTACAGTCTCTCGTTATCGACTACTTACTACTACCTGCATAGTACAGTATCCCGTCTACTGTCGATCGCTGCAGGATCATCATACTCGAATGCTTTTGCGGTGACAGTCACTTTCTCTCAGCTCGTCACACTGGCATCCACTCGCTATCATTACTCCATACTGGCCTTTATAGCATTAACTTCGCCGTAACTAAGACCTCCGACTAGTTCATCCTGATTCCCCAACGGCCGAACACGCTATCGGACACTAAGACCAACAGGGCGTTTACCGAAACAACAACAAATAAATAAGGGTCCCCTAAGAACTGCTAAAATGCCTAAACACAATCGCGGTTTCAGTTTCGGGAGCAAATCTTCCAAGTCGCATCGCTCCAGCAGTTCTGCCAACAGAGTCGCTCTTGCGGAAAGTGCTGAAGAAAAGCAGAGGCGGAATTTGCAGACCAAGGCTGATCCAACGCTGGCTATGAGTGAATTGCAGCCAAGTACGCTTTTCTTCAACACAACCACACTATCTTTTCAGTCGCTAATAAGTTCTTCAGTGGCGGTCGCGCTTGAAAAGTCGAATCTGGGAAATTTGCGCGATATGGCGCACAAGGATCAGTATGGGAATATCATCGGTATGCTTCTTTTCTTTTTCTTTTTTTTTTCGTTTGTCTGCTTAGCGACTCATCTAACTTTCTAACTCTACAGTCGACCCTGACCACTCCAATCCCACTCGTCCTCGTCTCGAACGTCCTCTGGATACTATTCGATCCTTTGAAATCGCCATCGATGGAACCTACGCCAGCAACAATGCCAACGCCAACGCCAGTCGACCCACCTCGTTTGTGAGAACTGGTAAGTACATTGCCATGCCTCATGACAGCCTGACCAGTCGCTAACAAATACAGCCGATGAACCATCACCAGGTGATGTCAGCCGTCGCACGAGTTACTTCGGAGCCAACGCGCACCCCTCCCGTCGTAGCAGCTACAATGGCCACAACCAACCCAACAACTACTACCCCTACCACCAAAACACCCACCCCCATCGTCCGCGCCATCCCCGCATGACCTCCAACCAGGCCTACGGCACCCCGCGCAACGCCTACGCACAGAATGGTCACCAAAACAGCTACCAGAACGGCTATCAGAACGGCTATCAGAACGGGTCGTACGATAACATCACCCCGTCGGGCTCAGGATCCGGATCAGGAAGCCACTCTGAGCCGTACAATGGCACCGACCCCAGCTCTGTAAACAGTTCTATCGACCAGCTCCAGCAGCAACAACAACAACAACAACAAGGCAAAGGGCATGACCAGCCAATCGGACAACCAATGGTACCGCCTGCCCCGCGACACGTATTTGGGTCAGCACCAATGCCAGATCCCAGCGCCGGTGGACCAGTTGGTGGTCAGCAAGCTGCGGCGATGGGTAACCGGCGGCATCTGCGCAAGGCGACGAATGATTCCGAAGCCAGTGTCGGTAGCAGTAAGCGCAAGAGCTGGTTTAAGCGGAAATTCAGCAAGTCTTGATCTGATTGTATTGCTACTATCATTCTTGTTTATGTTTAATACTTCGCGGATGTAATATCTTTTTCTGTCACGGTTATGGGTATGGTCTGGTATGCTCAGGATGGGCGCGGGACATATGGCTGTTTTTATCATTTATTGTTATGCTTACGAGGTTACGATCGATACACGGATATTTTAGTTCTGTTCTACTGTTAATAGCACCGAATACTATATGTCAGGAGTTTTGCTCGTCATCACGCATACTCGTAATCGTTAACTTTGGATAAACAAAGTCTACTTCCCAAACCCAAACAAATGTTTCACTTTATCCAGCAGCCCCATCCCAATCCGTTTCCTCTCCTCCTTCTTCTCCTCTTTCTCTTTCGCGTGTTCTTTGTCCAGGTACACGTTTCCTTGGCCGCCGCGCTAGTCGCCATTAAAACCAACAGCCCTATTCAAAGGGGTTAAGGGAGAGGAACATACCCCAACATGAAAATCTCCCTCACCGGATGTCGGTACAATCGCGGGTTCGGGGACGACAACGGCATCGTGCGGAACGTTGGACGTTGGGTGGACGTGTTGGGAGTTGATGTTTCCTGCTCCGCCGCGCTATTGATTCCGGTATCGTTAGTGGGAATGCGCAGGATATGCATATAGAATGTAGAAAGGATAGCGCAATCTGGATACAGAGAGTAAGGACAGGGACGTACACCAGCCGAATAAGCACCATCGCCTTGATCACCATATGGTCCTTCGCGGACGATAGCGGCGTCAACGTATCTTCCCCCTCCAGTTAGCTATACAGTCCATAAGATGTATCAGGGAAGGATGAGTACGGCGTTGGATCCGGTGCTATATTTCCTTTTCCTGCTCATCGTTAATCCTCCTTGCATGTGGCATTGGGAGCGGCAACACTACCTCCTCGACCATGCGAGACAATCGGCTCATTCCTCTCGTTATGAGGCCGTGAGTCGAGGGATGGGATGTGGGCGTGGGTTTTTACGTTGTCGCGTTCGCCCATTCTTATCGCTGTGTATAGTAGTACTGGAGTATAGGTCTGATAAGATGTTGCTCGTTTCTGTGCTCGGTTGCACTGTATATAAGTATATAGGAAATGCAGCAAACTCGAATATATACAACTCCAAGTGAGAAACCTCTACACACAGGAATGCGACAGCGATAAGTATTTATACGAGCTGCAATCACGAGGATACCAGGGGTATGACGTTGACCCCGGAACTGATAAGATAGGGATCTGATAAAGCGGTATGATTGGCTCGGAGCATGTACTTTAGGTTTACTGATAGGAACGGGAGTGTTTATCCCTACTTGAGATTGAAAGTGACATGAATGTATCGACTAACTACAACTGTGCCTTTTATACGATGTCTATTTTGTCTGCTTTTCTTGGCCGCCGCCGGTCGTCGGGAGGCCCATGAAGATTTTGAATGAGTCGTAGATCATCCATTGCAGGCCGGTCTACTCACGTTAGCTCTACTCATGTTTAATTAAACGAGGGCTGAGGGACATACCAAGGTTCCAACCATAACAATCCTCACAAACAATCCATTCCACAAGCCTCCAAATCCGATGTCCTTGTAGATTCGACCAATTGCAGCGCCAAATGCCTCGCCCGGCTTCCGACCCGCGTTCAACTTACTCACCATCACATCCGCTGGGTGCGAGATCACCGCGCAGAGAATGCCAGCTAGGTAACCACCGCCAAATGCGACTGCGGTTTGTGCGCCTTTGTTGTAGTCGGATTTCTGGCCCGGGAGGTAGGAGTAGATCTTCTCGACGATGGTTTCGAAAGAGGCGAACTTCATCATGGTGTAGGGGATTTGGCGGCCCCAGAGGGGGTACAGACCCTTGTACAGACTGGTTTTGTTAGTATAGTTTGACTGTAGGGAATGGTCACATACCCGCCGTAACCCTCTTTCGAAATGACATTTGCTAGTCCGGTAAAGGTTCCACGAATGTCCGGTGGAATCGTCGTTTGCGTGCGCACCTTGACAGCTTCGAATGGACACAGCGCAACATCCGCGATCAATTCAGCTGATGCACTAGCCGTCAAGTATAACGATGTCTTCCACTTCGCAGCTTTCTCGGGACCGACGAGGTCACTGTAGAACTTCTTGAAGTATTCGTATCCGCCATATTTGAAAGCACCTTGAGCCTGATATGGTTTAGCGCATGAAGCTCAATCAGAGATGACGGAGGGAGGGGTTACGCTATATCCAAAGAACGTCGGACTCCAACCCGTAAACACACCCCTCATCCCTTCCGCTGCACGAATCTTGCTGAATGCCTCCAAGTTACTCTTGTACAGCTTCGCATCAACCTGTCGCCGACACTTGATCAAATCCAACGGCGTCACGGCGGTATGTGTCAAGCCCTACTCAATTAGTCCTTTCCTTCCGTTCCGACGGGGTGTAGGGAGGTGCTCACGCAAGCCAACAATCCACCAAACGTACACGCCGCATAATATTTCCCACTCCATGGCTCAATATGACCAGTCTTCGACTGCGCTTTTTGGCTGGCGAGGTCAAACTCCCGGGCTGCTTCGGAGGCTACGGCGTTGGTAGCTTTCTTGGTTTCTTCAATCGCGCTCCATGCTGGAAAGGGTTGGCGCTTCGTAGGGGCGGGGTCTGCTGGTTGCAACTTCTGCTGCAGAGGGTTGGGAAAGATGGTGGTAACTGCTTCCTCAGATGGTAGCATCTTGAATACTTGGTAGTGAGCACAGAAGATGTATCTGCGAGAATGTTGATGGTTATAATTGAGGTAACGGGATGCCGGCTCATCCGAGTAAGCCTCGTATTTCAAAGCGCATGACGTATGTAACCGGACTATTTTCCGAGAAGAACAAGGAACGATAGTGTATTGCAATGAGGGCCATTAAGTCATTTTATTAACTGTGATTTTCTGGTCATTACCAGTTTTTTAAGACTAGTGCTCATTTAAGAAGTATATCTAGTGACTCTCCGGCGGTCCTGGCATTTTGCTGTCTATGTCAAACGTCGACAAGCACATAACAATTACCATAGCATTTGAACATATATAAAGAGCAATCCTTCAATTGACCCTATTCGCGTTGATATCGCAGTAGTATTGTAAGAGTACATACAGAGTAGAAAGATCACTGGCGGTGGGTCGTTTATCCGACGAGCGCGCCAATCCCGATCCGGTGGACCTGATCCAAAAATGGCAAACTCAACCGTCACCTGTCAACCACTCTGATTCTGTACGCATTAGTACACTACACTACACACACGACAATATGGCCTCGTACGTCGCAAGTGAGGCGCTCGCCCAGCAGCAATCTACCGATACTGCAAAGGTTCCCCAGGGCCGCTGGGCGGATAAGTACCGCGGGGTATGCCCCTCTGCACTGACACATGCGAAGAAGTAAAGACGTACTAATAGTATACTTATAGGCCACCGTCGAAGACTTGGACCCTCCGCCAGCCCTCTCCGTCTCCCCTAAGGACTCTATTTCCTCCGCTCTCCTCGCTGCCTACGAACGCGACTACACCCACCTTACCGTCATCTCCTCGACACGCTCTCTCATCGGATACCTCAGCATCCCGCACCTCAAGAAACTACTGCAAGATGGCGCAGTGAAGGAATCAGAGATAGTCTCATCGGCTATGCAACGATTCAACCGCAAGCGGGGAATATATCGGGTCATCACTATGGAGACGCCATTGGAGGAATTGGAAGAGTTCTTTGAGAGTGAGATTGGGGGGAATGGAGAAAAGCGGGAGAAGCAGGGCTTTGCGGTTGTTACCGATGGTACTAGGAAGTTTGTGTTGGGCGTGGCGACAAAGGCAGACTTGGAGGAGTTTGTTAAGAGGAGGCCTACATAATTGGGTTTACACTGCTATGGTTATGGTAATTCATTGTAAATATGAGACTGAATTCAACACACTAGTCAAGCAAGAATACCCATAACGCCGTTGCCGTTGTCATCACAAAGCCATACTGATACATGCCAGCACTTTACTGGGCTTTCTTTTCCTTTTCCGCAGCTCTTTCGCCTTGGTCCTCCTGCCATGCCACGAAGATATAAGCGAACAGGACAACATTCGCAGTCACAGCTGCTGTAACACCGGCCCATGTTGAGTTTCCTGTCCAAGCATTAGCAGAGCCATAGTAGAGATGATTCTTGTGAGCTTACCGCTGAAAATGGAGTTCACGGTCAAGAAGTACATGCCAATAGGGGCAGCGACCATGGCGAGAGTGAAGGCCAAGAGTTTAAAGATGACATTTCTATAAACACTGTTAGTAAAGTTGATCCAGATGATCTCTAGTTGAGCTGGGTGGCGTACGCAGGAACAGCAGGAGTCACATCAGAATTGGCTGGAGACTCTCTCGGCGCAGAGGCCGCAGCGTCTGCATACGACTTCTCAGGACGACGGCTAGACATGTTGGCTGTTGTGGTATTGGTGTAGATCGGAATGGACACTATGCGACAAGAGGGACGTCAAGAGTCTGGGTGGTAAAGTCAAGTGGCAAAGCTCAAGGCCTGGACGTGGAATAAAACAAGCTTTGCGATTAAGAGTCTTTTCCGGGAACTGTTAGAGGGAATAAAAGGCTGACTATTGTTCTTGTTTTATGAAGATGGAATGCCGTCCGGAGAAATCCATCTGGGGATGTCCGATGGCTCTCTAATTGGCCCGTTGCATTTCTTATGGAAGACAAGTACAGTTGACGCTGGCAGTCAGATGGCTTACGTTGGGATTTCTATTCTTTTTACTCTCTACTTAACTTCTGTATAATCCATTATGTATGCTTAGCCATTTATAACCTGTAGACCATGGCTCCTTGTCGGTATGACACGTGACCTGGCGCGTCGCGTCCAGGAAAAAGAATTGAAGGAATGGAAGGATTAAGAGCAAAGTAGTCGATACTAGCAGACTATCGGTTTAGTACTAATGCAGAGTACTTAGACTAGATTCTACTGCACGGGTCTTTCGCTATATTATCCTATTCTTACTGATTGGCACACTCTTTTCGCCATCGTCGACCATGGACGATTCCGTCCCCGACAGCCCCGTCAGCAAAAAAGTCGTACGCAGCACTCCTCCGACCGACGACCTACTACCCGTAACTCTTCCTCTGTCAGACCAACCACAACCAGTCACAACGCAAAAACCCGGAGACATACAATCCTTGACTCCCGCTACGCAGCGTTTCACTCAGCCTACCCAGCTGGTCGATGATCCCCGTGCTGTAGTCCAGGTCGCCGCTTCCTCTCCACTAGGTCCGACCTCGACCACTACCGCCATCTTATCCTCCTCACCTTTTCGTTCTGCCCCACAACAAGGTGGCCCTCTCTCCTACTCCCTGGCTCCTGCTGGAACCCAATTCCTTCCCCCGACATCTGGCGGTCCTGCTAAACGGGCTCCTGTGGTTGACGACGGACCGACATATCGTGGCGGCTCGTCTGACGAGGAAGAAGACGTCGAGACTACGGATATCAAACCGGCCCAGTTTACTAAGAATTCGTGGAGTCCCGAACAAGTCATGGAATCGCCTGTCAACAAAAGCGCGGGCGACACGCCAAACGATCGATTTCATCAGATCACTTCTTCGTCCGTTTACGACCCCAACAACAGCCATGGCGCAAAACGTCCCGCTTCCGAAATGGAAGGCAGCATGAAAGGAATGGCCGTGAAGAAACAACGACAAGACGGTCCAGCTCGCGCTCAACCGCTCGTCGCTCAAATCTCTTCTCTTGATGAGATTTCCGATTATCCGACCCGCTCCAAGGTCGAGCGCATGATGAAAATCATGACAAACAAATCCATACAACAGTGCTTTGAGGCTGTGGTTGTCAGACGTGGTATTTTCAACGATGCGCTGGAATATCTGGTCGCTGCGGAGGAGCAGGGAGGCAAAGAATCGGACGATGAATTGAGCGCCAAGGCTTCCGGCGCAGCACCGGCGAAGCAGCAGATCAAGGCGCGTGGTACAATTCAGGACAAATGGTCTTCGATGCGCATGCCGAACACTATTCCACGACCCTCGTCGCCGCAGGATGACAAACCTCGAAGACGCTTGGTGAGAGGTCCTAAGAATCGTGAACCTTCTCCCGCGAGCCCTATTCGGGCCGAGGTTACACCACCCAAGAAGGCCGGACGATTGGTCAAGGGACGCAGGCAACCATCGCCTACTCGCTCAGAATCCCCTGAAGAGCCAGTGGCCATGACTGAGGATGACTCGGACTCTGGTGTGGAGGAGACGCAGGGAAACAGCGAGTTGGAATTGAAGGTCCTCCGTTTCTTCAACACTTGCCAAACGCTGGAGCTTGCAGATATTGCCGCGACCACGGAAGAACTTGCAAATGCGGTTATCGCCAAACGGCCGTTCAGGTCCTTGGATGAAGTGCGCGTTGTCCCAGCGCCTACGGCCGAGCAAGCTGCGAAACCCAAGGGCACCAGAGGGCGTAAGACGCCAAAGCCTATTGGAGACAAGATCGTCGATAAATGTATGGACATGTGGGTCGGCTACGAGGCAGTCGACTCTCTTTGTGCCAAGTGCGAGGAGCTTGGAAAGCCACTCGCAACCGAAATGAAGAAATGGGGCGTGGACATCTACGGTAAGAAGGACGGGGATTTCGAATTGACCTCTATCGACCTGGCAGCGTCGCACGATTCCGGCATTGGGACACCAGCCAGCCAACGCTCTGAAGATGATGAAGATGGCCCGTCGAAATCACGCAAGGGCCGATTCATCGGTCAGCCCGGAGTCATGGCCGAGGATCTAAAGATGAAGGATTACCAGGTCGTCGGGATCAATTGGTTATCTCTGCTCTTTGAAAAGGAGCTGAGTTGTATCCTGGCAGATGACATGGGCCTCGGAAAGACGTGCCAGGTCATCGCATTTTTGGCTCATTTGTACGAGAAGGGCATCAAGGGACCGCATCTTGTGGTTGTCCCGTCGTCTACGATAGAAAACTGGCTTCGGGAGTTCCAGAAGTTCTGCCCGACTTTGTCAGTTATGCCGTACTATGCCGGCCAGGCGGAGCGAGCGGTCATCCGAGAGACTATCGAGAACAACCGTGACAGCATCAATGTTATCATCACTACCTATACCATCGCCAAAGCCAAGGTCGACGCATCATTCCTTCGCAGCATGGATTTCTGCGCTTGTATCTACGATGAAGGACACATGCTCAAGAGCAGCACGTCCGTTCTGTACGAGAAGCTTATCCGGATCCCAGCCCAGTTCAAGCTTCTTCTTACGGGTACACCGTTGCAAAACAACCTTCAAGAGCTGGCCTCTCTCTTAGGTTTTATCTTGCCCAAAGTTTTCCACGAGCGCAAAGATCAGCTGCAGTATATCTTCTCCAACAAGGCGAAGACCAACGAATCACATACCACCCTTCTTTCTGCACAGCGGATTGAGCGCGCAAAGTCGATGCTGAAGCCCTTTGTCCTGCGTCGTAAGAAGCATCAGGTCATTGACTTACCGGCGAAGATTTCGCACGTCGAGTGGTGTGAGCTGAACCCGGCCCAAAAAGAGATCTACGAGCATGAAAAGGAAGAGGTGCGCAAGCTTGTTGCTGACCGAGCCGCCGGTAAGAAGACGGGCAGCAAGTCTGCCAACATCTTGATGAAGCTGCGACAAGCAGCCATTCATTCTCTTCTGTACAGGCGGCACTACAACGATTCGGTCTTGAAGCAGATGTCCAAGGCGTGCTTGAAGGAACCGCAATGGTCTCTTTCTGACCCCAACATCATCTTCGAGGAGCTGCAACCTTACAATGACTTTGAATGCCATACCATGTGCACGACGTATCCGAAATCGCTTGGGAAATTTGCTCTGAAGAATGGTGAATGGATGGATTCGGGCAAGGTTGCTAAGTTGTGTGAGCTTCTTGAACGATTCAAGGATGATCGCATTCTGGTCTTTTCTCAGTTCACCATGGTCATGGATATCCTCGAGCACGTGCTTGAGAACCAACATGTTGGCTTCGTTCGACTGGACGGCCGGACGAACGTCGAAGACCGCCAGTCTATCCTTGACGCGTTCCACGAACGGACCGACATCCCCGTTTTCCTCCTTTCAACCAAAGCCGGTGGTGCAGGTATCAACTTGGCATGCGCCAACAAAGTCATCATTTTCGATTCCAGTTTCAACCCCCAAGAAGACGTTCAAGCAGAGAATCGCGCACACCGTGTCGGCCAAACTCGGGAAGTTGAAGTCATCCGTCTGGTGACCAAGGACACCATCGAAGAGCAGATCTATGCGCTGGGTCAGACGAAGCTAGCACTTGACCAGGCTGTTGCGGGAGACGAAGCAGACTCGAAGAAGGGTGAAGAGGCTGGTATGAAGGTCGTTGAGGACATGGTTTTTGCTGATATGGAAACGAAGGTTGAGGGGGAAAAGTCTACTTAATATTTCTGTCGTTATTGTTTGCTATTTTGTCTTACTTAATTGCTGGTGTTTACTTAACTACATAGTTGTTTCCTTTTGGTACTAGCGACCTGCTTGTTCATTTGCATATTAAAGGGTATGACGGCAGCGTCTTTCATGGATACTGGCCAGAGGTGTTTTTACTGTTCTTCTTTTGGAGACGGTTAGATAGCTTTCGTTTTGGGTGTTTTTGTGGAGTGAATGAACAGTCCAAGGGACTATTAGAGCAATTGACGATTTTTCGCTGCCTTACTTCTCTGCAGAGTGCTCTGCTTCACTTTTAATTCTCTCTTATCCCTTGTAGTAGTCAGTATTCATAGTCGAGGATTCATTCTCCGCCCTGACCGCCAACCAACCGCCTTATGATGACCTCCACCTTCCGCATCTAACCACCCTCACAACACAGCACCGCGACAATGACTTCTACTCTCGCAAAGAACTTCAAGCAGCCGGCTCTGGATTTCCTGTCCTTTGTCAATGCCTCTCCAACCTGTATGCCGTCCTCCCCAGAGTCCACGGAAACTAAGCAGCTAACCGTATCTTAGCGTTCCATGCGGTGCAATCCGCCAAAGAACTTCTGAGCAAGGCGGGATTTCAGGAGATCAAGGTAGCCATGTACTTCCCGAACTAATTGATTGAGCCTGCCGCTAAAACGATATAGGAAAAAGACTCCTGGGCTTCGACATGCCGTCCCGGCGGGAAGTACTATCTCACCCGGAACCACTCCACTCTCGTGGCTTTTGCTGTGGGGAAGAAGTGGCAGGTACGTTTCTTCATCCTATCTTAAGTCTGGATATGATGGACTAATGGAAAGGTAGCCTGGTAATCCGATTTCCATGATCGGTGCCCATACAGACTCTCCCGTTCTGAGGATCAAGCCTGTCAGCAATAAACGTGAAGCGGGATATGTTCAGATTGGTGTGGAGACGTACGGTGGTGGTATTTGGCATTCATGTGAGTCTTTCAGCAACCTGCGCTGTACATGGTTTGATTTGCGATGCTAATTAGCTAGGGTTCGACCGTGATCTGGGTGTTGCAGGTCGGGCCATGGTCCGCACCGGAGATGGATCTATTGTGCAGAAGTTGCTGAAGATTGACCGTCCAAGTATGCCTCTTTAAACTATAATAAGTCCGGGATGGTGCTAACTAGATAGTCCTCCGCATTCCGACATTGGCTATCCATCTTGACCGCCAGGCTGATTTCTCTTTCAACAAGGAGACGCAGCTTTTCCCAATTGCTGGCCTTGTCGAGGCTGAGCTTAACCGTACCGCTGGTGCCCCGGCAAGTACTGAGACGGATAGTGGTGAATTCTCTCCGCTGAAGGCTATCACTGAGCGCCATCACCCGTACTTTGTCGAACTAATTGCCGCAGAAGCTGGTGTCAAGCCTGCTGATGTGCTTGACTTCGAAATGATCCTGTTCGACACTCAGAAGTCCTGCCTGGGTGGTCTTCTCGAGGAGTTTATTTTCTCTGCGCGCCTGGACAATCTTAACAGCTCTTACTGTGCTACTGCTGGTCTGATTGACTCCGTGGCTGACAGCTCCGCTCTGGACGAGGAATCTTCCATCCGTCTGGTTGCGCTGTTCGACCACGAGGAAATTGGAAGCCGCTCCGCCCAAGGTGCCGACTCCGACATGCTCCCTGCCGTAATTCGCCGCCTGTCAGTCCTTCCGGCCTCCTCCAGCAATGCCGACGTGAGCACCGCCTACGAGCAAACCCTGTCCGGCTCATTCCTCCTCTCCGCGGATATGGCTCACGCCGTGCACCCGAACTACACAGCCAAGTACGAGGCCGATCACCGCCCCCAGATCAACAAGGGCCCCGTGATCAAGATCAATGCCAACGCCCGCTACGCGACTAACTCTCCCGGTATCGTCTTGCTCCAGGAAGTTGCTCGCAAGGCTGCTGAGGACGGCGGCGAGGGCGTGCCGCTGCAGCTGTTTGTTGTCCGCAATGACTCGAGCTGTGGAAGTACTATTGGACCTATGCTGTCTGCGCTTTTGGGCGCTAGGACCCTGGACTTAGGTAACCCCCAGCTGAGCATGCATAGTATTCGGGAGACGGGAGGTACTCATGATGTTGCATATTCGATTCGGTTGTTCTCAAGCTTCTTCAAGCACTATTCTGGCGTGTCGAAGAATATATTTGTTGATTAGCAATATGTCATTAGGAAAATACAATGACCATCATGTCACTACCAATTGCATTATGACCGTAGCTGCAGAAACCGTTGTTGTATGCAATAGCCGCCCATGTGATATCATTGGCCAACCGGACCGAGATAAGTCCGCCGCCGCCCTCATCCTCCACCCTCGGCGTCGGACCTCATCCTCAGTGTCACTAGTCACCAGCTTTACTTTTATCTGGGGAATTTTACTGGAACGAATTCTATGAAGATTCTCTAAAGAAAGGGGAAACCAGAAGACCCCACCAGTCACCAGTCCAGTCCAATCCGCATTGCTCTGACCCGCTCATGTCCCCATGACCCTCTATGACAACCCCGGATATCTATCGAGATGCGGAATACATCACTGACGTGTTCATCACACCGTCTGGTGCTTCCGAGTACGACTTCGGGCAAGATGCGCGCGTGAAAAAAGTCCAGGCAACTGCGAAGGTCGCGTTGATCGACCGGGTGCTTCGCGATCTGGATATCTTGATCTATTGCGAGCTGTCTGCGCTGTATTACATGGAGTGCGTATCTTACACTGGTATATTGCTTGATAGATGGGGTATTGATATGTGTATAGCTGCTCGATATTGCTCTTCCTCCTCCGCGCCATAGTCCAACTTATATTCTTCACACCCAAAGCCTCCCCCTTCGACCCGACCCGCAATCAACCGTACATCGGCGCGATATTTACCAGCAACATCATCTGCATGATCTTCCACGCCTTATTTACACAGCCGGAGATCGATGAGACAACACGGGGTTATCTACATGGGGGGTTATTTATTGATTTCATCGGACAGAAGGGGCCGGTTTCGGTGGGGAGATTGATATCATTTGATTTGCTGGTAATGGTGGTTGATTTTGTGATGCTGGGGTTGGTTATTGAGAGGGTTAAAACTGTGGACTCAACTTCAGAATCGCAATCACAGTCGCAGTCGCAGTCACAGTCGCAGTCGCCGCAGGATCATGATTCGGAAGAGAGGGGAGTTCTCCGGGGACAAAACAGAGACGATGGGATTGAACTCGATGAACTAGCGCGCGATGAACATACACAATCAACGATGCAGCCACATAATCCTAATACAACCGACGACGACGACAACGAACGAACAAATCTCCTAGCAGAGCCCTCTAACACTCATATCAAACCCACACACCCCCTCGACATCTTCTCCTCCGGCGAATACATGCTCATGGACCTCGGTCTAATAGACATCATCCGCGACCAGTGGCGCTACAGTCCTTCTTCAGCATCTTCAGGACAATTATCGACTACTTCATCTACGAGAACTTCTCGAACTTCTCGATACGCGCCGTCAGCGGAAACGGCTGCGTTTCTTAGAGAGCGGTTTGGGTTGCAGGTTAGTGCTGAAGGAAGGGCTGAGCGGATAGAGAGTTGATTCACTATATTCTTGCTTTTTGTTGCAAAATTTAGCGCTGGGTCGCCGATATGATTGCATATGGCTTTGTATTGGAGTTATTGGTGTACAAGTACATATATGTCGCTTTACGAATCAATGTCTGTACAGAACTGATTTCACTGTCTTGACGAGTGATCCGAGCATCAATTGATATGGACATGACCATCATTAATGTTACAACCTAAATACTCAAATCTATGGCTTCCCCTCGCCCCCCTCTTCAGGCTTAATCCTCCGATCCAAAACCTCATCAATAATCCCCATATCGAGCGCCTCCTGCGCCCCCATAAAATAATCCCTCTCCATCAACTTCTCGATCTCATCTAGACTCCACTTCTTATTCCCCGTCAAATGCCTCTGATAGATCTTATTCAGCTGCTCGCGCACGCGCAGGATCTCCTTTGCATGGATCGCGATATCCGTCGCCTGTCCGAAGTAGCCGCCGGAGGGCTGGTGGATCATGATCGAGGAATGTGGGAGACAGTAGCGTTTGCCGGGGTGGCCACCGCAGAGGAGGAGGGAGCCCATTGATGCTGCTTGGCCGACGCAGATGGTGCTTACGGGGGCAGCAATGTAGGACATTGTGTCGTAGATTGCGAGGCCTGTCATCGTCACCTTGTATTAGCTATGAATGTGCAAGCAAGGGCGAAGGGGAGGGGGCGAACCGGCTGTTACTGAGCCGCCGGGGGAGTTGATGTAGAGGTGGATTGGTTTCTGGGGGTTATCGGCTTCGAGGAAAAGGAGTTGGGCGACTATGGAGGCGGACATGGATTCTTCGACTTCGCCATTGAGGCAGATAATTCGTTCCTGCGTCGTTAACCATGAGCATTATATGGTAGGACACCTGGTCGTACCTTCAACAGTCTGGAGAAGATGTCATCTGCCAAGGTTAACATTGCTCCCACCACCCATAATAGCACGAGAACATACAAGTATGCCAGCCGCCTCCCTATGCAGTTTGATCAGCGCATATCCAGAGAAATTCGATAATGGGGCTACATACCACTGTCTCTGTCACAAACGGCGTCGGAGTCCATGCCCGCGGCGGACTGCTCGATAGCGAAGGAACGGAGCTGGAGAAGCTCCGCAACAAGCCCGGTTGAAAGGCACTGGGACTGCGACGGGCAACCCAGCCCAGTCGTAATAAGGAGCGTGTATTCATGGCGACAATGCAATAACTGACAAAAGGCAGAAGCAGGGAGGAAAGCGTGAGGAGTGAAGATAGCTACTCCGATAAAGGCGCGGAACGACGTAATGCCGCCGCGGAAGAATCGCGCCGATCTAATCTCGATGGAGGCCGTTTTCCTCTTTGAGCGGACTGAAGACCACTATCATGGAGTGCTCTCGCCAGCACATTTCCTACGCTTCATGGCGTTTAAGAGTCTTTCGGCGTTTGTTCGCGTCTACGTCTACCAACTCGCACACTCTTTCTCCGTCTTCCCGCAGAAACCTTCCCTCTTCCAAATGTCCCCTCCGAGAAAATGAAGACCACGACCTCGACAATGACCCCTCAGTCCGCCCCTCCCAACTCCTCCCCAAATCCCCCCTAGCCTCAATCTCAACTGAAAAGAAACGCAAACACCGCGCACCACCGGAACAATTCCAAGAACTCGCCCGAAACCCATGGGCAATGGCCCTCGCGTCCCCACTCCGAATGTGCACTGTAACAGGAACAAGAGTTCCAAAAGCCTTCCTAGGCGACTGGGGTATGATACGACGCTCTGACGCCGCAGACTCAGAGAAACTATGGATAATGCCAGTCGGGTTGTTGAAGGATGAACTTTCGCGGACATTGAAGGGACCATTGAACTTCCTCAAACTCCGGATCGTTGATCGTCTTCCGCTGCTAAAGCAGCTCACAAAACCGTTGAGTCGGTCGACCGGTGGGAAAAAGTCGCCACTTGTGAAGTTGATTCCGCAGCGGTGGAAGCATCCGTTTGGACCGATGACGAATCAGGAGGATAGGTTGTTGGTTTGGAGGGGAGATATGCCGGATTTCGTGTTTGGGCGGTTGAGGAAGGATGCTTTGAAGAAGTTGAAGAGGGCATGTAGTGAGAATGGACAGGAGAGGAGTGCAGCCGACCGGGTTTGGAGTGTTGTTGGATTAGATGGAGACTCTGGGGGGGCTTTGGTTGAGGCATTAAAGGGCATTGAGACCGTTGAACGTATGAGCTCTGGTGCTGTGTTGATTATGTGCCAGAAATCCCAGACTGAGAACCAGTCTGAGTGGTTTGGGGAATCCCAGAAACGGGTCTCGAACTTCCCTGACTACGTTACTCTGCCTCAAGTTCAATCAAAGGTCCCAGTATTCGATCTCTCTATTCTCTTGTCTGAGAGTGACATGGAGGCTCTTAGAGCGTATGACCAGCGTTTCCAGACCACGGCTCTGTTCCTCAGACCAGATGATACTACGGCTGTCGATGCGGTCCTTGCATTGTGGAAACTGAAAGGCTTCATTCGACATGACGCGCAGTACACACCTTAACCTGCGCTATAAATTCTCACTAAATACACTGTGGACATCCCAGACTGTACAATATTTACCAAGTCTATCTACCAAATAACCGTCTTATCTATAACTGAACGTTCAACAAATCAGACAACTTGTCCAAATACGCCAATGGCTTGATCGGCCCAGCCACAAAATCCTCCTTAGTACTAACCCCAGTCAATACAGCCAGTGTCCCTCCAAGCTTCCCCTCCAACCCAAATCGGATGTCCGTGTTAGCGCGATCCCCAACCATACAGGCGCGACTCCGATCAAATTGGAACTTCCCCTCAATAGCATCCATCATCGCCTGATTTGGCTTCCCCAGCGACACAGGCTCCTGCCCCAACATCATGATCAATGGTGCACTCATCGACCCAGCGCCAGGGAACAGTGTCCCCGAGCTCGGAAGCGTAGAATCAATGTTCGTCGCGAGGAACACCGCCCCGCGCCGGATATAGTGGTACGCCAGCGCCAGTTTCAGGTAATTCAAATGAAAGTCCAACCCAACCAACACGACACCAACCTCAGGGTCCAAGATAGACGGGTCACCAGCCGCAATGCGCTTGTAGTCCTCTGGCTTAACGTCGCGGAGGAAGGCGGGATCTGTGCCGCCGATGAAGGGGACGTTTTCGGAATTGAGTTCTTGCTCGATGCCTGTTTCGCCAATGACGAAAACCTTGCGCTTGTTCTCGGGGAGGTTTAGGATGCGGGAGATGTAGATTGAGGAGCTGTAGGATGAGGAGAAGATTTCTTCTGTTGAGCTTGGAATTCCTAGGACTTCAAGTTTCTTCTTGTAGTCTGCACGCGACTTGGTACTGTTGTTTGTGACGAAGACGACTTGCTTTCCTGTGAATTATCAGTATTCTGCCTGTCACCCTGCAGTGCGATTGCGTATACCATTGTTCCTCAACAGTTCGAGAGTCTCGACGGTTCCGGGGAAGAGGTGGTCACCGGACCAGAGGACGCCTATTTAAAATCTCAATTTAGTCCATGCTCACCAAATTACCAATGATTTCAAGTCCCAATCTCATATCCCAAATTGCATAACCACAAGAGAGGTGCAGAGGCATCACGAACCGTCGCAATCGAATAGGAAGACCTAGATAAGCAATAACCATTAGCCATTGTTTCCCATTGATAGAGTAGTCAAAAGTCGCATGCTGCGATTGAGTAAAGGTTCACTCCACGCACATCAAACTTATCCAAGAATTCCTGTAGACCAGGCTTGTCGCCGGTCAGATAGTGGGGTTTGGTAGTCATTGCGGGGTGCTCGCTTGAAGCAGCCATGTTCTTTCTGTCTCGAAGCTCTTCCTTTCTCTTTTATCCTTTCTTCCAGTGTGAGAACGTGTAAAAGAGCTTTCCACGTAAAGAACGAGACCAGAGTGAGTGGAAAGTGAGTCAAGTTGGCCGGTGAGCGGACTGGATCTCGGAAAGACGAACGGCTCCGCCGCTTCATATCGGACTACAAGTAGAGATGACTTCATATCAACTACCACAGAGAAGAGCAATATCTGATTGCTCCAGAATTGAATTGAATTAGTCTATATGTTTGAAATAGCGTTTATTTCCTGTTACACTTCATGCAATCGTAGCTTATCCGTTTCTTCTGTCCGGACCGGAGCGAATGGCACGAACGGGGTATGATGTAGTACCCCAAATTGGAGCAGTCGCTGCGGCCCTAGGCACTTATGCAAATAGAGCAGAATGCGATCACCGGGAGTTGAACCTATGAACCACCAAGAATCCCGGAGATTTGAAGTGACAGATCCAAAATCGAAAGATGCTCATCTGCACCGTCTGCCAGACGTTTATCCATCTCAGAGAAAGCTGTGACGATTTTATTCTTCTGAACATCCGGTATAGCGTCGTTGTAGACAACCCGACGATACAGCTGAATAGCCATTAGCAACGCTAAGCGGTTTTCAAGTACGGAGAGGAAATACCTGTGTCAATAACTGAGTGGCACTCCACCCATCTGCCACAATATCCGTGATAACAGAAGAAACAGCTCCATACGAGGAACCGATTTTCTTCGGCTGCATGGCATGAATCAAGCCGTCCAAAACAGTCTCCGGGATAACACCCGCAATCTCCTCCACCATCCGCACAGTAATCATTTTCGAGTTGTCGTCTGTCATCTCTGAATCCTCATCTCCATCCTTCTTGCCAGCCGCCTGAGCCCCTACCAACCGAGCAGCACTCTGCATATATGTGATAGAACGTCGTAAATCTCCCTCTCCACAAGTGATCAACTTGTCAACCGCCCCATTTTCAAGATTCAACCCCTCCTTCTCAGCAATATGCGCCACTCTTGTCCCCGCAGCGCTGTTATCCAACGCCTTGAATCGGAACTTGCTGCACCGGCTTGCCAACGGCTCAATAATCCGGGTGACATAATTGCAAACCAGACAGAAACGGGTGATTCGACTATATTGTTCCATCGTCCGACGAAGAGCCGACTGCGCGTCTTGCGTCATGCTATCTGCTTCATCGAGGATGATAATTTTGAACGGCGGGCAGGGGTGCTTGGAGAGGTATTCTGCGTCTAGACCTGTGGGTTGTGAAAGTTGCGTTCGGGCAAAGCCCTTGACTTTTTCACGGACGATGCCGATACCTCGTTCGTCGGAGGCGTTTAGTTCGAGGATACGGGAGCGGTAGACGGCGGGACCGAAGAGGGATTTTGCGAGGGCGAGGATGGTAGATGTCTTTCCGGTACCTGGGGGGCCGTAGAAAAGCATATGGGGAAGCTTGATCCATTAGCTTTTTGTTGTATAGTATTCGCATAAGTATTGGGCATACGTTAGAAGCGTTTAATGTCCGTGAAAGCACTTTCGTCGTGTGATCTTGCGCAGCGACATCGTCTAATGTCTTTGGCCGACTATCTCTTGTCAGTGATAATTCTCCAAAACATATAGGGAACAATTACGACATACTATTTCTCAACCCATGGCTGGAGTTGCTCCTCTCTCGGATCTGTTGGCTTCTGCTTGGTACTGCTCGATGCCGCTGCAGCCGCTGCGCGGGCTTTGTTGTTAAAAAAATTGGCAGCCATTGCTACGGGTATATGAAATATTGAAAATTAGTGGTAGAATTTGACCTGAAAATGTATACTGGTAACCCGACGTGAGCTCTTGCGGACCTCCGATGAAGGCCGTGTCGGAGACGCGTTGATACGCGACACCACTGTAATGAGATGTGGCGCAGCGATAGTACTCCAGCCACAACGACGGATATAAAGTGTGGCCAACACGACATACAAAGCAAAACACCAGTCGCAAACAACATGACAGGAAAATACATTCTACCCTCAAAGACAACAACTTATTAGGAATCCCATCCTTGGGAAATCAATGCTTCTGATCTGGTAGATACACACTCATTTCAAGACCCTTGCTGTACGGCAGCGTGAGGTTTCTGAATCCACTGTTCGGGGCACGCAGATAATCAAGGAGATTCTTGTACCGAACAGAAGCACTAGAGGTATTGTCGGTGACTACAACTGCGCCAGGCTTCATTGCCGGCTGTACTAGTTTCAATACCGGAAGAGCCAATGGGGCCCAGACTGGAATCAATTAGCCAGTTGAAGTAAAGAGGCTGGAATAAAAGCAGTCTACTTACTGTCCAACAAGAGCATGTCAACTGTTCCTAGGTCGTGTTTCAACGTCTCCAACAAGTCACCCTCTCTCAACTCAATCATATCACTGACGGAGCTGCCGCACTCCCCCCAATGTCTTCTGGCTTGAGCTGCCTTATCCGGCTCATGTTCCGTGCCAATGACCCTCCCAGCACCACCAAATGCTGTGATATTGGACGCAACAGCAAGCGCGAGGTAGATGGTACTAACGCCATAAGAGGTACCGGCCTCGACGATCGTTTTGGCACCTGTCGCGAGACAAAGTTGGTAAATGAAGTGGCACTTGTCCTGGTCAAGAGCAATGAATTTATCGCGCATATTCGCATCGACGGTATCGGGCTTGTAGGCGGATGCATCTAGCTCGGCTTCCTGGGCTGCGGATTCAGCGTGGAGCCGGTTGAGCAAAGAAAGTGTGTGTGCCGGGACATCTTTCAATGGATGGTTGTCGGGAAGGGGTTTCGAGGGCTGGGAAGACATATTCGATGATATGAAGTTGATTGGATTCTGATATTACGAATGATGTCTGATTTGACTTTGGAGCACATGCGTTGCCGAATAATATATTGTGTGCCCTGATGACATTCCGATAGTTAACGTGGTGATCAATGAGTCATTTGTTAGCAATGGCATAAAATGCACTCCCATACTATCAAGCCCATACTATCAAGCCCATACTACCTAGCGAATAACCCCCTGTACTCACAATCTGCAGTATTCCTACTTATTCTTGTGGCGGCTGACGACATTACCACCACATCCGTAGGTTCCGCAATACCCGTAACAACCGCCTTCCCGCAACTTCCACTCATACATTGTGACGGTTGTCTACTGATACAGTGAAACATCCCGCGTCAAAATGGTGCAAACAACAGGCCAGCTCAAACGCAAGCGCGCGCGCGTGGCCTGCGAGCCCTGCCGGGAACGAAAGAGGAAATGCGACGGAGACAACCCGTGTGATACATGCAGCAACTGGGGATATGAGTGCTACTATCCAGCCGATCGAAACTCGAAATCCAAGGCCTTGGCATCTTCTGCGGAGTCCTTATCCACTGGTGCTCCTAGCACGGGACATAGTCGCTCAATAAATCCGCAAGGCCTGATTCGCAGTCTCTCTGCAAATTCCGGCGCTGCCTTTGTGCGCAGAATGGGCCTCAAAGTCGATCCGGCCAATGCGCCTCGGTTGAATCTTTTCGGGTGGAATGTGGGTGCGAGACAGCTGTCCTCGGGGCTGGCGACGGCTGCTGGCCTGCCGATTGTTGATATTATTGCTCTGCGGGATATGGCGCAGCTGGCACATGTCTATTTTAACAAGGTTGACCCGTGCTATGGATTTATTGATAAGCAAGCTTTCTTCGATCGTCTCAATGCGCGGTGGCGGTCCAACAGCGGTGGCAGCATTTATGATAGTGTACTAGCAGGAGTTGCGGCGCTGGGGCTACTGTTCTCGGAGCGAACGGTTAAGGTCACAGAGCTACATCTGATGGAATCCGCTAGGTTGATCCTTGAAGGTTACGATGGAAGTACTGCACCCTCTGTGGACCTTGTTACGGGTTGGATGCTTCGTGTCATCTACATGCGGATGACTGCGCCGCCTTACTCGACTTGGCTCGCTAGTTCTACGTTAATGCACCTCATCGAAGCTACAGGTCTTCATCGTGAAGCTTCCGACGGCATAGACCTGTCTAACGCGAAATGTGATCCTGACATCCGACGACGTTTGGTTGGCGTGGCCCAACATCAGAACATGTGGCCATCCTATGATCTTGGTCTGTCAAGAGTGTCTTTGAAAGCCGATCTGTCTCTGTCACTGTCACCACGGCCCGGGGACTACACGGCAGAGCTACTAGATCTGCTGCCGATATCTGCCAGTTTGGATCCCGAAGAAGCGCATGACGACTGTGACCTGCAATGGTCTTTGGTGCAAACTTTGGATAGGGTGCACACGCAACCACCATCCGTGCTCGCGCAAACAAACTTGGTCCTGTGTATACTACGACGACTTCATCTTTTGAACATCAACACATCACCCGCCATCGCAGACCGTGTTCTGGACTTAATCCAGAGAGCACTACAGTCCGCACGCAGTATGCTCACAAATTGTTGCCCATGGCAACATATTGCCAACGTACCATTCCATATTATCACCATTCTCCTCGAAATGGACACATGCGCTTCCCTTGCTCAACTCCCAGACGCCATGCAGACCTTGAAACTGGTTGCCTCTACATACAACACTGCTACAATGCGCGAGGCTTATGCTACTGCTAGACTCCTTGTATTCCTTTATCAACAACGACGATGTCACGATGCTCGGCTGCTGGGCAATGTGCTTGACACTGATTTTCAGTCAGAGCCCGGCTCAGCTGGCTTAAAGGCACAAGTGCCGCGCGTCAGTCCTAACTTGGAAGAGATGCCATTGCTGGAGGAATTGGTTGCCGATATGCCTAGTCTGCAGGGGTTCGATTTCGATCAATTCTTGAATATGGATATGTTGCGGTCGGCGCAGGATATGGATGTGGGATCGTTGGGAGAGGGTGATTGACCTGTCGCCCATTACTGCAGTGCGCAAACATCGGTAAAAACTGTAGATTAGGTTCATGTGTACATATCTTATTTCCTTAATCCGGGTCACTATATGAATAGCATGTAAAGTATGACATTTTCTAGTGTCCATTCCGCAATACCCGTTTCTTCCGTACGAGTAACATACCGCCAAATATAGATATAAAAGCGTCTGCTTCCACTATTTATGGCACTCCAATCTTTACAGGACAGACAATGTTCCGATCATCCCACCTCACCAAGAAGCTCTCATCGCTATACCCATGGACCTCCAATCCCATGATCATCAGCGCCCCAATGCGGGTCATGTCCGGCCCAGCCCTGGCCGTTGCAGTTTCCCGCGCCGGCGGACTAGGCTTCATCGGACCCAGTGCGAAAACACAAGACATACTAGCAGACCTCGAAGAAGCCTCGTCTCTCATTGAAAAGAAAAAGGCGCTCCGAGCTGCCGCAATACCGTCGTCGTCACCAGCTCTCCCCGTCGGAGTGGGTTTCCAGCTCTGGAGCGACGACATCGAAACTGCAGTATCTGCTATTCAGAATTTCAAGCCATGTGCGGCATGGCTGTTTGCTCCGCGACAAGGACAGACAGACTTAGATCAGTGGTCACGCCGAATCCGCAGCGTCTCGCCGCACACCCAGATCTGGGTCCAAATCGGTACCATAGCTGAGGTGCAGGGGCTGATCGGGGGCTCTGACCATCCGGATGTAATTGTGGTTCAGGGTGCCGAAGCAGGCGGTCACGGACGTGACCGGGATGGTTTGGGCCTCATCTCACTGCTACCCGAGGTGTCAGACACGCTGGCGAATAAAGGATCACAGATCCCTCTAGTTGCTGCGGGAGGAATCGCAGATGGACGGGGTGCAACGGCCGCGATGTGTCTGGGGGCTTCTGGGGTTGCGATGGGCACGCGGTTCCTCGCTGCGACAGAAGCGCGGATTTCCCGTGGATACCAGCGAGAAATCGTGCGTGCTAGCGACGGCGCGGTATCGACAACTCGCACACTGTTGTATAATCATCTACGGGGTACTTATGGGTGGCCGGAGGGGTATATTCCGCGGACAATTATTAACCAGTCTTTTATCGAGCATCAGGCAGGGAAGGCGTTTGAGGAGCTTAAGGGGCTTCATGATCAGGCTGTTAAGAAGGGGGATTTTGGTTGGGGGCCGGAGGGGAGGCTTGCGACATACGCGGGGGCGTCGATTGGGTTGATTCATGATGTGCAGGATGCTGAGGCTATTGTTACTGGTATTCAGAGGTATATTGAAGAGGGGGCTGGCTCTTTGAAGAAGGAGCTGAAGCTGTAGAGACAACATAGTATAGCTACTATTTCTAAAGGGATTATTCAACTTGAACCGCACTAGAATTCTGGAATTGCATGTCCTGTGTAAGTAGCAGCTCAAAACTGGAATATCAGGAAGAAGACTTGTCTGCTTCTGTATTCCCCTCCCTCATCCCCTCGTTGCTACTACTCCCACTCTGAATAGCTCCCAAGATCCCGTCCGTATAAGCAGCACCGCTCCATTTCTGATGCATAAGAACCTCCACACCGAGTTCTTTCTCCCGTGCCTGGATTAAGCGGATGTATGCCAGCATACCGTCGTCCTTAAATGCACGCGAGAGTTCAGTGGTGATAGCTGCCGTGGAATGTAAACCAGCCAGGGAGATTAACTGCAAGACGAATCTGTGGAGTATTCAGCACTTTGATGGATGATCATGGGAATGGGGAGAATAGAATACCCAAATTTTGCAAGGTCCCAGACAAAAGATTTCAAAGAATCATCTGTAAACCCTTGCCCTAACCAATTAAACGACGGACTCAGATTGTAGACGAGTTTCTTCTCAGGATAAACTGCGTGTACGTTGCTAGCTACTTGTGCTGCTTCGTCTAGGCTCGGGGTGCTCGTCTCGACCCAGAGGAGGTCGGCGTATGGTGTATATTCCTTGGCTCTTTTGATTGCTGCTGGGAAACCAGCACGGTAGTGGTAGTAGCCCTCTCGGGTGCGAGGGATATTGCAGGACCATTTTACTGGCGATTTGGCATATTTGTAGGCCAGTTTTCGTCTTTGGGATAAAGATAGATTAGGGTTTTCTTGCACTTGGCGGTAGTATTCTTGTCGAATGGCCGGCGACGTTCTCAGGATTTTGAAGTGGGCGTCGACAGCTATGATGATCGGGTTGCATCAGCGTAAGATCGAAGCAATAAGCTCCAGGATCTAGAGGTAGAGAAATTACCTTCATCAAACGTAAAAAGTCTATGCTCTCGAACCCAATCAGCTTCGAAGGCATCAATCTCTCTCGGTGCAACCTCTTCTCTTTCCAGCGCCTGAAGAATTTCTGCCAAAGGCTCTACTTCCGCTTCATCCATCATCACACCCAAAGTAAACTCATGGTCACGACTGTCCACTATGCTGGAGATGAGGGTACCGCTCTGGGAATCAGTTCGAGCAATAAGAAGGTTCTCCGTGCCCATCATATCCCACTGAAACCGGGCCGCCACCAGCCGCTTGATATGCTCGCTCATGGGGACAAGCACTTTTCCGGATAGATGGCCGCATTTTTTGCCTCCGTGCAGTTGATCTTCAAAGTGAACTGCTGCGGCGCCGTATTCGGCGAATAGTTTAGCTAGTTTCATTACTGTCGTGATGCCCCCATGTCTAAGGTGCGGCTGTTAGCATAGTCTTCACCTTATAGGTATTGTACGTACCCAGTGTCTCCATCAGCAATAATCGGCCGCAAAAAATCAATATACGGTGTATTTTTACGTTGGTCGGCGGTTAACTGTCTGCGCTCATCCCAATGTCTGCGGTCATGCATCTTCTGCGCGTTCATCAATCTTTGCACCTGGTTCGGCACGGTGTTGTAGGGATAGTCGCCCATATCTGGTGAGACTTCATTTGTGCTCGTTAGGAGGGAAGAACATGCCCATCCAGAAACATACAAGGCCTCTTGATACTGTGCTTGCTGTGTCATTTGCACTGGATCGATTGCACCCACTGTCCCGATCTTAGCAAAGTAATTATATTGACTCATTACCTCAACCAAAGAACTTACTGGTATGCACTGGCAATCCCTCCATCGCCTGTTCGTTCAATAAATTAAACAATTTCCGCGCCATCAAGGAACTGGGGTATACCTGCTGCAGCGATTCTCGCTTGCTCACGATATCGGTTGCCGAATAGAGCCGCTTAACCCCGTCAAAGCGTCTGCTTGCCCACCATGTTTCTATGTCTCGGACCTGCTGTTCACATAAAGCATCTTCAAGAGCGCCTGCCTTTTCTGGTGTCGATAGGAGCTGGTAGGCATCGCTGGGCGGATTGGCTAACAACAGTGATCCAGCGGGTTTTAGGAGTATCCGAGGGCTGCGGGTAGTAAATGTTCGTATACTAGCTGTGGTCGATGGGAGATCCAGACGCCGTGAAAACATACCAGTAGATATCCTTAAAGGCATGTTTGAATCATGAAATTATCGTGATTTATCCCAGCAAGACATTGCCGTTCTGGCAATACTTGTCACCGCGAGCTGGGAGTGATGCATGGAAGCAAAGTACTATGCGGTTCCACTATACCCGCAATACCCATTCCGGCCGTCTAAGGTTGTAGGGCTTGAGAATCCGCAATACCCGCATCATGACAAAAAGATTAAAAATCTAGGCTTTTCATGAGGGTCCAGAAACGGCCTAATTGGCACACATTATTTGTAACCGTCATCCAAGGGCCTGCTGAAAAGGAACGATGTTGCTAGGAACCTAGTATCAGGATTCAAACGAACACGTCGCACAGGAGAATATGGACTCTTCAAGGCCCAGTCGAACTGGCCAGCTGGAGGATGAATACAATGGCATGAGTACATCGGAACTCGGCGAGGCTCATGGCAGTGTCAAAAAGCACCAGGGCATCTTGTCAATGGGAGCAGGGAAACCCATCCCGCCTCTTTTACCCGACTCGAAAGAATACATTGTCGAGTTCGATGGGCCTGATGACCCAACTCATCCTCTTAATTGGAGCTTTACAGTCAAGTATGTTCTATTTAAAATGGTACAAACGGACCAATTCTCACTGTGATTACCCCAGGCTCTATATTTCATCGATTGCTTGCCTTGGAACCCTCACGGCATCATTCACCAGCGCAATCTTTGCTCCAAGTACCACTAGTGCAAGCAAAGATTTCGGTGTCAGTTCAGAAGTAGGTACACTCGGCACAACCCTATATGTTCTGGGCTTCGCATTCGGCCCATTGGTCTGGGCCCCAGCTTCGGAGCTGGTAGGAAGACGGTGGCCGTTGACCATTGGCATGCTGGGAGGCGCCATCTTCACCATTGCATCAGCTGTGGCCAAGAATATCCAGACGTTGATTATTTGCCGCTTTTTTGCGGGGATGTTCGGCGCCAGTCAACTTTCTGTGGTCCCGGCGATGCTGTCGGATATCTATAATAATACCCATCGTGGAATTGCCATTGCGCTATACTCGCTTACAGTTTTCGTCGGTCCGTTCAGTGCACCGTCTATTGGGGGGTTTATCTCGACTAGTTCTCTCGGGTGGCAATGGACTCTGTATATCCCGGCTTTCATGGGCTTTGCAAGTGGTTCGCTGTTCATCTTTTCCCTCAAAGAGACATGTGCACCAGTACTGCTGGTTTCAAAAGCAGCCGCCATGCGCCGGCAGACACTGAACTGGGGCATCCATGCCAAACAAGATGAATTAGAAGTGAGCTTCGGAGAATTGGTGAGGAAATACTTCACTCGTCCTCTGCAGATGCTCATGACCGAGCCGATTATCCTGTTGATCTCGCTCTATATGTCCTTCATCTATGGCATTGTGTACGCACTTCTGGAGGCATATCCATACGTTTTCGAGACGGTTTACAGCATGAGCCCCGGGATCGCTGGTCTTGCATTCATTAGTCTTATTATCGGCCAAGTACTGGCGTGCGGATTCATCCTCTCTCAGCATTCGGTTTATGCAAAGAAGTTGGCTGCGAATGATAATGTGCTGGTTCCTGAATGGCGTTTGTTTCCAGCAACTATTGGTGCTCCTGTGTTCACCGTTGGTATCTTCTGGTAAGTTGATTCCAGATTCGGCTTGGAATTGAACATTGACCGGGGTCAACAGGTTCGGTTGGACCGGGTTTACTGCTTCGATCCACTGGATGGTACCAGTTGCCGCAGGCGTATTCATTGGCTTCGGGATTCTGTGTATTTTCCTTCCATGCTTCAATTACCTCGTCGACTCATATCTACCTCTGTAAGTCCTTGTTCTTGTCTTGCTACCTTTGACTCATCAAATTGACATACTATCAATCTTGAAGAGCAGCATCAACCGTTGCTGCAAACATCATACTCCGATCAAGCGTTGCTGCTGGGTTCCCCCTTTTCTCCAAGCAGATGTTCGCTAATATGGGCGTGCAGTGGGCGGGCACCTTGCTGGGCTTTTTGGCTGTAATCATGATTCCGATGCCTTTTGCTTTTCGGGCTTATGGGCCTTGGTTGAGAAAGAAAAGCAAGCTGGCGCCCTAAGCCAGTGGGTAACTCTGGTCGGGGTTACTTTTCCTTGGATCACTGTCGTGAATTAAAACTGGACTTTACCGTCGCATATAGAGACCCAGTGTGTAGAGTATAGAGCAATGGATAAACAAATAAAAACTGATGATATCAAAGGTAACTCCAACTGATTCCAAATTTATTGTTCTTGAGTCCATATGCCTAAAGCTCATCCTTAGTCGGCTCCTCCTCGTACATCCTCTTCTTAGGATTCCGAGGAACCTCATCCTGTCGTTCCCGTTCTTCCGGGGAGATACCATCAATATTCGTTCCTTCCTGCTTATCCCCTCCCTCAGCCATACGTCCAATCTTGTCAATCATGCGATCCTGATCTGCTTCTTCCCGAACAATTTCCCTTTCCCAGGCAGTGTCGCCAGTGCCACTTTCAGGAACAGTCCCTTGGGTTTCATGTACTAATGCCGGAATTTCCTGTGTTGTGAATGTATCCGCAGCTAGTGATGATTGTACAGCTGAACTTGTGATACCAGCACTTCCGAGAATCACAAAGAGAGTTCTTAACATCAACCGGAAGGGCATCCAAACAAGCCACCATAACGGCCCGTAGAGCATGCGACGGAATAGCAACCAGGCAATTGTACCAACGATTATATAGAATGCCGTCTCCAGGTACCAAGTATCGGATTTCTGCGAGCGAAGGAGAGAGCTAGCGAGTTTGCGGGAGGACGATAGGAGAGTGTCAAGACTAGTGTATGATTCAGAGAGAGAGGAGATCGCAGCCGTTGATTGCTCTGTACACTTGTTAGACCAGATACTCGTTTGAAGACGGGAGGAAACCGACCTAGTGTCTGCTGCGCGAAGTGACTCCGCGACAGCTCAGCCTGCATCAACTGATGCGTCCTCCTCAACGCCAGCGTAACATCATTAGACGCATTCATCACCAAATCATCCTGCGTCAATTTCTCAGACGGCTGTTTCCTTGTCTCACTACCCTGCGATCTCGAAAACAATAACTCCCTCTCCTTCCGTTTCGCAAATTCCGCATTTCTCTTCGCCTGAAGCTGCGCATTCCTAAAATCCCCTCTCGTCCTGCACAACAAAATAACATCAGTTAGACACAAGATCTCATCCATATAGACGTAGACGTAGGATCAAGTGCAAACCCACCTCTTCAAATCCTCAGTCAACCTCCCCGCCAACACAACAACCCTCTCCTTCTCCGCCTCCTTCTCACTATCCATTCCCTTCCTTCTATTCTCCATACTTGCTTCCAGAGCCTCGACTTCCACCCTTAACAGCTCCATCTGCCCCTCCGCCTCCTTGAGGAGGGTGTGGATCTCCGTTCCGAGCTCGAGTCGCGCTTCATCGCCTTGGCCGACGGCTGTGGTGAAATTGCGTAGGCGGTTGACAAGTGGGTGGATTTGACCAAAAGATGCGGAGAGGTCTTTTAAACGTGATTGGAGGGTTGTTGGGGACATGGTTGGTGGTTTCTTTGCAGGAACGGTGCTGCGACTGCACAGGTGGTGTTGTAGGCCGATGACTCGTTGAGTGTTAATTCAGTGTCGCGCGGGTTATTCGCGTGGTAAAAATGTAAAGGTCCAGTGCGCTCAGTATCAATCAAAGAGCGCAATCAAACAAAATATTTCTAGCTGTCTCATAATAGTTGCATCAATCTGTCCGATAACTGATCGGCCAGTGCCATTCAATATGCATATATTCCTGAGGCAGTAATTTGCATCTGATGCAAACATCGCTCTCCGAAAGGTTTCGCGATTTGGTGATTTCGTGGAGAGCCGACTGATATCCCAGCAATTCATTCTGTCCTGTCGCCTGTCGAGCCTTGTGCCGGAGTTGGTCTGACTTCGAATATACCGCACTGTTCAATCACTGTTTCGGACCTGAGTGAGCACTACCAGCGATTGCAATCCTCAGATCAGGTACGCCCACTTTTTGGTTTCTACAACGTTCCGGAAGGACGCATATGGATGCGCTCTGTTCGCGAGAGAAAAAGCATCCTTAATTATTCAAATAGAACAGTCGAAGTTAACCCGCAATTTACAGACCTCATCCCTTTCATACTGTCCATCCACCACCCCCTCCGAAAACACAACCGACACCACAACCAACAACATCGACCAAAATGTCCGTCCCAGTCCGAACAATCACCTCCTTCCGCACAACTTTCAACCCCTTCTCCCCCATCTCCCGCCCCTGCCGCCTCTTCCTCAACCTAGTCCGCCAACCCTCCACGATCTCCGCCTCGAGCCCCAACCACATCGACATCAAAGTCACGCAGCTCCCGCGGAACTCGACACAGCTGCCTGAGATGACAATAGGATTCAAGGGCGGGAGGGAGATTCAGCTGGATGTTGGGAAGAGGGGGATGAAGATTGGGGATGTGATTGAGGAGGTTGCGCGGGTGGGACGGGTTATTGAGAGGGAGCAGACATTGAAAAGCTAAGATATATTATGTTGTTTATGGATTATGTGGTGATTGTTGTATTATTATGCATTTTTATTTTCCTGGTTCTTGTTCACGGCGCTTGGAAGACCGGGTTGTCTTAGACAGATTCAGTTTTCCGATGGAAGATGACATGCTTGTATATACCATGTAGCATAAAATTTTTTTACGGTCCGGTGATTCCTACTCTACTGTTGTACTTTACGATTGTCGAACATGGCACATGTAAGATTACATGAAGCAGTTACTCTGTGGAACCCATAATTGCAGTACACGTTGAACAGTTGAAACGCATCATCTTATCATTCACCCATGCGGGCAGTCAATGTCATTAGATTTTTGGGATATTGTTCAATAATAAATTTAAACGGCAGCACCAGAGATGAAGAACCACTTGTCAACAGTGCTGTCAATAGGAGCCGGGGGAAGGTCCTGGCCCTTGGGGATGCTGGCAAGAGCACCCTGGTCGGCACGGTCACCAGAGGCCTCAACGGTAGTGTTGGTACTGTTGCTTTTAATTAGCTGTCATCTAACCTAAAACATTCAGAATAAAAGCAACTTACAGGCTGATGTCACCCTTGGGAGACTTGCCAGAGATGAGCTTCTCCCAAGCATCGGCGCACTCGCGGACAACGTCAAGGGCGTACCTTGATATTGAGTGGTTAGAACACGGAACTTTCTAATAGCTAGAAACGGAGGGCTCACTTTTTGTTTTTGCACTCGCCAGAGAAAGCAAACTGGTTCTCGGGCTTTCCATCGGGGATCTTGTAGATACGGAACCACTCGTTGGTGGCGCGGAGGAGACCAGGGAGCTGGCGCTCAACATCCTCAACGTCGTTGAGCTTAGCAGCAAGAGGGTCGTTGATGTCGACGACAATGATCTTCCAGTCAGTCTCCTCCTCGTCAAGGAGAGCCATCACACCGAGGACCTTGACCTGCTTGACTTGACCGGGGTAGCCGACGACCTCACCGATCTCGCAGACGTCGAGCGGGTCGTTGTCACCCTTGGCCTTGGTCTCAGGGTGGACACTGTTGGGGTCTTCCCAGGTCTACAATTGCATTAGTTAGGAGGAATTGAAAACAGTTGTTATTGAGATCTAAAGATGGAACATACCTGGGGGAAGGCACCGTAGTTCCAGAGGTAGCCCTTGTGGGGGAAGCAGTTACGGACGTAACGGAGCTTGCCCTTCTTGACATCCTGCTTGATGGGGTTGAGGAACTCCTCCTTGGAGATCTATGGGAGGAGGATTCGTGTTAGTATTCAATTGGACCAACGTCGTTTTGAATTGGACTAAACACACCTCCTGCTTGGCGTTAGTCCAGCGGGGGATCTCAACAACCATGTTCAGAATGTTCTGCTGCTCGTTGGCGTAGAGAGGGATGTCGTGGAAGGGGGAGACGGGGACGCCATCCTTCTCAATGTAGACACGGTGCTCCAAAGTGTTGGGCTGGCCGATCTTGCGGACGGTGTAGGACATGGTGTTGGTGTTTGCTGGTTGTTTTGGATGCTGCGGAGGGGTAGAAGATATGTGTCTAGAGACGAGAGTCGCACGATCTGAAGCGGACGACACCTTGGTATTTATCCTTGATGGAGAAGGGGATGAAGCTGAGAGGTGAGAAGGAGAAGAAGAAAAGGTGAGGGGAGGGGCGGCGTGGTTAGTGGGGGGAGCCACTGTTGCGGATGTGCGCCGGACGGGCGAGCGAAACAACCACGAACGGAAGGCGGTGGGTAAACGGGTCAAGGGAGTTGGCGATGCCACAATCCGTTGCTGGGCGAATGGAGCAGAAAGCAGCATATGGAGAAAGAAGAAAGAAAGAAAGGAAGAAGCGGAGGAGAGACGGTGTATATAGGGGCGGAAAAGAGGAGGTGACAATCTTATTGTTCTTCCCGAACTTTCAGTAAATGCTTCATTCCTACTTTAGTCTACAAAGACATACGAAAAAGACAAAACCAGGCGGATTATTAGTGGCGGCCCGCCAATCTCGCCTCGGGATGGAAAATCGGCGGCGGGAATGTTGCCCTGGCAGCTCCGAGGTTAACCTAGAGTATGGAATTGCTGGATACTCATGTCCAATTGGTATTCTTGATCCTTTTCCTCTCTCTCTCTTTTCTCTCGGATACGCCATTTGGCAGAGTAGTGCAGTCTTGCCGGATTCTTACTAGTACCCTTCATAGATGGTTGTGCAGGCTGTCTGTACCCTGTACTCCGTACTCCCAGTCTGCAACTCTCGGTGAATCGTCCGCTCCACTAGTGGACTGTTCCACCCATGTTCTGGGCGTCTTTTATTATTATTGATGACCGTCCGCGGTTCTTCTATGGACAAAGTGGACTCCTACGCTTTATGGCGGATGGCAGACCGACTACTCAACCGACACCGGGAATGGTCCGTTGTACTATGTAGAAAGCTTATCGTTATCTTCACGTGCCTAATCTTTCTTATCTCCGCCCTTGAAGCAAAAAATGTTAAGGCCATCAACAGTCACACTCGTTTCCTCTTATCTCGCCTTGACATGCTCAGATTCCTTCGCTTTGCAATGACTGCTATGACTACCTCTCGCGTTCCTATCCCTACTAATGGGGTGGACTACCGTGGCAAAATCGTCCTGGCTCCGATGGTTCGGTCCGGAGAACTGCCATCTCGTCTTCTTGCTTTGGATTATGGGGCTGATCTGGTTTGGGGCCCCGAAACAATCGATCGCGCGCTCATTGGCACATCGCGTCGCGTCAACCCTCGAAATGGGATCATCGAGTTCACTCGCGGTCAGGGATCCATCATCTATCGCATCGATCCGGTTCGCGAGAAAGGCAGACTAGTCTTTCAAATTGGCACAGCGTCGCCCGAACTCGCGGTGGAAGCGGCTAGAATAATTGCACCTGATGTGTCTGGTATTGACGTTAACTCAGGGTGCCCAAAGCCGTTCAGCACAAGTGGTGGTATGGGGGCAGCTCTGCTGCGGACCCCTGATAAGCTAGTCTCCATCCTTACCGCTCTGGTTGATGAAGTTGGGAAGCCATTCCAGATTGGGATTTCAGTCAAGATTCGCATTCTGGAGACTCCTGAAGAGACTAAGGCACTAGTGTCACGGCTGGTCAAAACTGGAATCACAGGATTAACAGTTCACTGCCGTACAACACCAATGCGACCCAGGGAACGAGCAATTCGCGATCAGCTGAAGATGGTTGCTGATGTGTGTTGTGAAGCTGGAGTTGCCTGTGTTATGAACGGTGATGTTACTTCACGCAATGAAGGTCTGGCGTTGATGAAAGAGTATGGTGTAGACGGGGCCATGATTGCGACATCAGCAGAAGCCAATTCATCATGTTTCCGCCCAGAAGGCGGTTTGCTTCCTTGGAAAGATGTCGTACATGCTTATTTGCGGACCTGTATGGAGGTAGAGAACCGGTTCGGCAATACGAAATATCTCTTAAACATGCTCGTCCCAAGCAAGGAATTTCAGCACTCAAAGTCCTCCAAGTCCTACTATGATTTTTGCCACGCACTCGGGTTTGATGACCTCGTGCCTGCTGCTCTTCAGGTTGATGAAAACATGAATCTGACACACAAGTCAGTTTTCAAGAACAGTACTACCAACCAGAAACAGGAGCCCGAAAAGGTCGATCTTTCCTTGCCATCACAGCCCGCACAGGAAGCGGTCGCGGCATGAACATGGCTTTCTGTTCCCCGCAGTATATACACGAAATCATGTTATTTACGGTTCTTATGTCGATACGCATAGACTAATGATTGGGTCTGGTTTGCATTTTGTGGTGTCTGTCGTTGCTTTGGCTCGTTCTTTTTGTCCATATTCCTGGAAGCAATGTTAAGAATTACTCTGCCTAGCCGCACGGAGACATTCGCGTACTATTAATGTAGACAAAGACCAGACCTCAATGAGAATCAGAACGAGTACCCCTTGTCAGTATTCAGAAACACAGAAACAGGGGTTGGCAAAGTACTGTTAAGTAGCGACCAAGCGCGCATTAAAACGCGATGCCAATCATAATACGGTAAATAAAGATACGCCGCGGAGGATTTCCAGCTGAGGCGGAAGCCGTTGGATCTGCCATCACTGCAGTGGAATTCGGATGGATTGACACAAGTCTGGCTGGTGTGCTTGTGGATGGTCCAAGCTTTGGTCGCGTCAGGGCGCGTGGGTGTTATCAGGAGGGGCAGTACAGAGTATATAGAGCATGGTACAAGTACAAAGTGGTTATTCTATTTCTCTATAACGCAGAGTGATATGTGTCAACAAATTGGTATAGAATAAATATTACCAGTCTCTCCAAACAAGGAATGTCTAGAGACCTGTGTCAGTACTGTAAATAGAGCGTTTTGTGCCCAGCAACCATGCAAAACATAGAACAAGTACAAAGCGCACTGACAAGCCACACACCGCATTGAATCAATTGAAAGAAAATAAGAGCAATGAAGGAAGAACATAAGAAAAACCGTGTCCAACCAATTTAAAGAACTTTTTTTTTTTTTTTTTCACTCCAAGAACAAAGCGTATCCATGGTCAACATGCTTTCCAAAAGCGGTTTAGTGCCCCCGACGCGTGACCGGAGGGCGTCTCCCTTCGAACTCCGTCAACCCCAAGAAAGACCATCGCCAGCCCTTGGTTCGCTTTTCGCTGCGCTGTCGACCTGCTTTTTCTCCCCAGACGGCGGTCAAAACTACCTCTAATGCCCTTCTACAGTTGACTGCGCTCTCCTAATTATCAACATTGCGTTCCGTTAGCGCTCGTACCTCATCGTCGTCTTCTGTTTTGCCCGTCGCCGGGTCGCTCGATCATCTTGTTATTCTGGAGCACGAAACGAAGGACCACTTTCTCAACCGCAATCAATCCCTAGTCGCCTTGGATTTCCAATCGTATTCTCTGTTAAGCTATTTTGCGCATATTGAGCTCGAACCGGTCAATAGCGCCATCACGACCGGTCGATCCACCCGAAAACCCGTCGCATGAACCGGGGTATCCCTTTGTTATACCGGAGTTCGATTGTTTTGTGAGATCATTACGGATTGTATCCCCAAGCGACATATTGCCCTTTCTTGATAGACATGGGTGGCAGCAAGAGAGATTCAGAGACCGTTACAGCTGGAAGGTCGGCGGCCGCCAGATCAAACGGCAAGTCGTCACGGACCGGAACCAACGCACTGAACATTGCTTCCCCGCCGGGAACAAGAACACCGCCGAGCATGCCATCTAAGAAGACGCTCTTCTTTCCCGAGACGATGAGTGGTCGGAAAAAGAGCCAAACTGGACAGGACCTTATCGATCCGGACGCTCTCACAAAGGCATTGAGAGATTATGAGGACGCTGGACATCGTCGTGAGAGGACACCTGGGACTAGTCCAAGTCGAAAGAGGCAGAGAGTTTACGGGGATAGGTTAGTTCCCTCTACCATCTAGGGCTGAGTAGCGCTGCGCGTTTGGCCATGGTGTCCATGCGGGGTTTCCACTAACGATATTGATTTCTCCATTGACAGGTTCATTCCGAATCGCGATGGGCAAGACTTCCAGGCGACATATAGCTTGCTTCATGAAGATGGTTGCCCCTCGACCCCTTCTAAAACGAAAAAGCGTACCCCACACTCAGAACTCCATTTTCAAAAAAGTAAGCCATACTCCTTTGCCCATCTATCTTGACTGGAACAGTGGTTAACATTGAATTAAGCCGAAGAAGCAAACCGGATGTACTCGCGAGTGTTGCGTAGTGAACTGTTCGGAAACACCGTCCCCCAAGCCGATTTGGACTCTTTAACAGCAGACCCACTCTCTGGTATCAACGATAAAACTCGCTCGCATACACCACCATCGCACGTCTCCAACCTTCCTCCCGCCAGCATCACACCATCCACACCACACAAAAACCTTTTCACATACGCCTCCCCGCGGGTCGGATCGAACCAGCAAACCCCGTCGAAAACACCCAGAAGTCACCATGCCCCAAACCTAAATGCCCGGTCAGAATTGTACAGTCTGTCCCCAATACGTTATGATAGCCAACGTATCCTGGAGACCCCACGGAAACAACCTCGTTACGTCAACAAGGTCCCATACAAAGTTCTGGATGCTCCAGACCTACAAGATGACTTCTACCTGAACCTAGTGGATTGGGGTAGCAGTAATGTCCTAGGGGTTGGGTTAGGTAATTCAGTTTATATGTGGAATTCGCATTCAGGGCAAGTTACGAAGCTTTGCGAGCTTAAAGATGATACTGTTACCAGTGTTAACTGGATTCAAAGGGTGAGTTTATGAGGAAATTTCGTTTTCACGCTTTTATGGAATGCTAACGCATTGCTTGTCTATAGGGAACACATCTTTCAATTGGAACAGGGAAAGGTCTCGTTCAAATATGGGACGCCGAGCACTGTCGTCGTCTACGAACAATGATTGGCCACACAAACCGAGTCGGTGCTCTGGCGTGGAACGACCACATCCTTACGTCTGGGTCTCGAGACAAAATCATCTTTCATCGTGATGTCCGTTCTCCGGATCAGCATATACGCCGCCTTGCAGGACATAAACAAGAGGTCTGCGGTCTAAAATGGAACACGGAAGATGGGCAGTTGGCATCAGGTGGCAACGATAATAAACTCATGGTGTGGGATAAACTGAACGAGACGCCGTTATACCGCTTCTCGGATCACGTTGCTGCTGTTAAGGCTATTGCCTGGTCGCCCCATCAACATCATCTCCTCGCTTCCGGTGGAGGTACGGCTGATCGAACCATCAAATTCTGGAACACGTCGACCGGATCTATGATCAAGGAGGTCGACACTGGCAGCCAAGTGTGTAACTTGTCGTGGTCGAAGAACTCGGACGAGATCATCAGCACACATGGTTATAGCCAGAACCAGATTGTCGTCTGGAAATACCCTCGCATGGAGCAGGTCGTATCATTAACAGGCCACACATTTCGTGTTCTTTACCTCGCCATGAGCCCTGATGGGCAAACAGTTGTCACCGGCGCAGGCGATGAAACTCTCCGATTTTGGAAGATTTTCAACAAGAGGCCCGGGAGAGAACACGGACGAGAAGGCAGTAAACTAGCAGAAATGGGTACGATACGGTAAACGAATCTTAAAGAATGGGTTCTGCGGTGTCCGTGATTTCACGTGGCCCTTGACGTGATGTGCATTCAACAAGGCGTTCGTTTGGTCTTTGGCGTTGATTTAATTGAATCCTCGGGTTCTCCCTGGGTTGGGGGTTCAAGCAGGAACGGGCTGAGTTGTTTTCTTTCATTCTGTTTTCTTTTTCCATCTTGGGCATCTATTGCATTTTTCGCGGGTTTTTCACAGCATTTACAGGAGATTACCAGGCGCGTTGATATACCGGATTCTTTTCTTCACAGCATTGCGCTCACTTGTATTCCTTTCCCTTTCTGTTTATCAAGGCGCCTTGCAACTTTAATGGTCCTTCTCTCTCCCGATTCCCAGATTCTATCTATGGATACGGTGTTCCAAACGGGTGGCCAGAAAAAACAGGCGTTAATTCATGGGGTTTGACTTGATTAATAGGTGGTTGGCGATTTGTTTATGGCCTTGAGATTCGGTCCGAGGGGTTTTCTACTTTTGTGTTTTCGCTTCGTTTGTTGAGTATAATTGATGATTGCATGACCTTGTGCTTCTTTTGTTTGTTTCTCTTTGCCCTAGGATTTAGACAGATAGGCAAGTAGGTAGTGTTTTGTTGTATTAGTGGTAATGGAGAATGGGATGTACAAGACATTTGATTGCTTTGCCTAAGATATACTCTCATTGTAAAAGAGTGGTTCGGTGTAAAAAGTAATAGAGTCGAGTGGAAATCCTGCTCTGTATAAATCCTCAATGAGCCATTCTAGCTTTTCTGCTGCTAAACTTACATATACACAATCAATGACCAGAACATAACGGAATAATACACAACAAAAAAAAAAAAAAAAAAGCCTAAATAACCAAACGACCAGGCTCAACGGTCAACAGCGTCTCAACCCGGTCCAAGAAAGCCTTCGCCCTCTTCTCCTCGTTAACCGGAACTGTCAAACTGAATACATTGGCAGCCGGCTCTTCAACGGACGGTACTACCCGCGAAGAAGGCTTCTTAGAAACTTTTCCAGCAAGGAAATCAATAAGGTCCTCCTGGACAGGCTGGGCCCGCGCAACTGGGGCATCCACTTCATTCAACTCGGGGATATAGTCACCCCGCGAGGTAGTAACAGGCTCCCCACCGAGAATCTCATCGAAAAGCTCATCAGCAGAGGGCTTCTGCACAGCCGAACGCGGCAGCTCCTCATTCGCAAGGTCCGCAGCCCTCGCCAAAAACTCCGACAGCGGCACGGTAATCCCCAAACTCTCCTTAATCTTCCTCTGCACGGACAAGACGGCCGAGAGCGAAATCGACAGCGCGACGGAGGTCGTTGGCGGCGGAGCAGGCGCTTCCACCTTCTCGGTGACAGGCTCCGACTTGGGCGCTGGGGGTGCCGCGATCTTGATGTTGCTTAGATCGAGATGGGCGAGCTTGTCGATGCGGGCGGCTTGGGTGGAGGGATAATCTGCTGGGATGGAGCCGAGATAGGCGAGGACGTCACCCTTTAGGAGGCGGCCCTTGGGGCCGGAGGCGGGGATCTTAGAGATATCGGAGTCGGGGATGCCCTTTTCGTGGAGGAGTTGGGTAACGGATGGGTAGAGGGGATAGGCGGGGTTTTGGGTTTGGGGGGTGGTGGATGCGAAGCCTATAGATGTATCTTGTTAGCATGCTGTATATTTATATAGCAAGTCTGCGCAGCCTGTATCCTAAAGTATATCCTGTAGACTCACGTCTGGCGGCACTGTATACTGTGGTGGGCTGTTGCCGTCTGGCGAACATGGCCGGGATTTGGCGCGCTGAGAAGCTGGATGCCATTTTGTAGATTCAACGATCACACAAATATCCTGCAACCTGAAATTATTGATTGCCTTCCGGTTGACGAAAATTATCCTTTTGTTGTCGCGTATGCTATCTCAACGGCTGGATTGTTCGGATTCGGCGACTGGATCAATCTACCTCCACGATGAATCCACACGGACCTTCTGGGGTAGCGGAGTGAGGTGTTGATGTCCGCGATTAACTGGAAGATGTTTTTGAAGCTGGCCTGGGTGTGTATGGCGCTCTTATCTCCGGCATGTAGAACTTGACGTTGAAGTTGTTGGGAGCTTCACCGGTGGCCGGGACAGGAACATTTTTCTGCCGCGGAGGACGGAGGATTGGCCGAGTTCTTTGGATAATCGAGCAAGATACCAGGAACTGAAATAGGTGAGTTTATTTTGTTCATTCTATTGGGATTGCTCTTGATTAATTTTTCGAGGGGTCAAGAGTTCTTATTGTGCGAATTCATGGTTGCAATTGAGTGTATGCTAACTTTGTATAGAAGACTCCGACACAATGTTTCCCAGGTGCTTCGCGTTTCAAAGGCTCTCGCAGCAATACCCCAGGTTCTCTCGTTTACCTAGTTTACAGGCTAATGCCTCGCGCCCAATATGGAGATATTTCTCGTCGAGCATCCCCAGGACAAAAGCCGCCGTGAAACCCCAACCCCAAGCACGTAAAGTCGCAAACTCCGAAGAGACCCTCAAGTTTGCCGGGAGACGACCAGAAGGATTCGGGAAGCTGGAGCGCAAAGTCGCAAAAGAAGGGAACGTCGTCCTTTTCAACGCACCATCCCATCGCAGCTATATCTTCGGTGCCTACAGTCTTGCAGCATTCTGCTTCGCCTACTCAGTATACAACTCCAACATGATTTTCCGGGACCCAATTGCCGTTGGTATCCCCATGTGGCAGCAGACCCTATTTGGAGGTGTCTGTATTGCAATGAGTGTTATGGGCACGGTGTTCCTGACCAAGACCGGACGTTTGATCAAGTCTGTCAATGCTGTCAGCGCGAATGGTCAGACACATATCCGTTTCAGGGTCCGGTCTATGATGCCCTTCAAAAAGCCGTTTGAGTTCGATGCTCTTCCTCGTCAGATTGTTTTCTCTCGTCGACTCGTGGTCACTCCGGGTGCGAACCGGCCGCAGCAGCCTGAAACCCCGCGAAACACCAAGCCATCGGAAATGGAAATCCTCAAAGCACCGGCGAAAAAAATCAGCGTTCTGATATGGACGATATTTGCGAATGTGCGGAAGCTCTTCACTCAAGAGGGCGTTATTCTCCTGGAAGTTGAGGGCCAGAAGGGTGTTTTCAGAATGGACTCTGCTGGTTTCGTATCAGAGGATTTCTTGATGATTGGGAATCCGCTTGATATCAAACGTCGGCCGTAAGGTTTCGTCTTTCCCAATTACTTTCTATGAGTGATACCTTCAGATGCTGTCTTACTACCTATTTTTATATGCGGCCTATCTAAAGCTGCTCCTGTACTCAACGACATCTGTACATACTGTCAAACTTGATGCTTTTCACAGACAAAAATAAAAAATAAAAAATAAAATTGTAAAATCTTCTACTTTTCTTGTTTGCCCTATCGGCGGTTCGGCCCCACGTGACCAGCGCGTCCTATCGACTCCGTGACGCGCTCTCCAGATAACCATCGCGAGCCCCTCCAACGACATCTATGGCCGGTTCGGTTGACACCTCGTTGTCGACTTGCTGGTGCACGCTGTTTGCGTTCGTTATTTTCATTGTTTGATTTGGTGCTGCGTTTGCCGGATAACGGCAGCGTTAAGACAAGATGGGGAAACTCATCCGGCTTGAACTTTTCAGTACGTTGCGACCCGCAACAATGCGCATTCATAAGTTGCTGACAATTGTCTAGACTTTAAATCATACAAGGGTCACCATGTGCTCCTCTTTGGAGATGCCTACTTCACATCGATCATCGGGCCCAACGGGTCTGGAAAGTCGAATTCGTTTGTTGCCTTTTTGTATCCTCGGACATTTGAGAGTCCGTCGCGCTGACATGACATTAGGATGGACGCGATTTCCTTCGTTCTAGGTATCAAATCATCCCACCTACGATCCGCGAACCTCCGCGATCTGGTCTACCGTGGCCGCGTCCTACGAACCGCTAAGCTCGATGCCGAGGGTAACGCAATCGAACAGCCTACAAACGGCGACGACGAGGCCGAAGATGGCGTCGACGGAATCGAGTCGCAAGATCCAAACGGAACACAAGACCCGAGAACGGCATGGGTTATGGCGGTTTACGAAGACGATGCCGGCGAGGAGCAACAATGGCGGCGGTCCATTACGAGCCAGGGCGTTAGCGAGTACCGGATAAACAACCAGGTCGTGTCTGCGCAGCAATATAACGAGGCTCTGGAGGCGGAGAACATCCTCATCAAGGCGCGCAACTTCCTTGTCTTCCAGGGTGATGTTGAAGCGATTGCGGCGCAGTCTCCCAAGGACCTTACGCGGTTGATTGAACAAATTTCGGGTAGTTTGGAATACAAAGCGGAGTACGAAAAATTGAAGGTGGAAGCTGAGGAGGCTGCTGAGCAGCAAACTGTCCAGCTTCACCGTCGGAGAGGTATCAATTCGGAGATCAAGCAATACCAGGAACAGAAGCGCGAGGCCGATAGCTACTCTAGGAAGGCAGAGGAACGCGACCAAGCTATCATTACCCATATCTTATGGAAGCTGTTTCATTTCCAACGCTTGATCGACGACTCCAGCGAAGAGATCCAGAAGTACCAGAATGAGCTCAAAGAATACCGCCGCGGTGTCGAGAAGTACGAGAAGGACGTCGAAGATGCGAAGAAAGATCATGCTAAAGTCGGGCGAGATGTTGCAAAAGCCGAGAAGAACATCACGAACAAAGAGAAGCAGATCGAGGAGGCTAATACTTCCTTGGTCCCCGTGGACGAAAAGGTCGACATTACCGTGAAGAAAGTCGAAAGGTTCGCTTCGCGGATCGCTGAGATTGGCAAGGAGCGCGAGGCACAGTTGGCCAACACCAAGCAATTGGAGAAGGACCTCAAGATTGTCGAAAAGGCACAGGTCCAGTGGGAAGCTGAATGGCAGAAGTCTATGAGCAAGCAGGGTATCCAGCTTAGCGGCGCTGACCAACAAGAATACAACAAACTCAAGGAGGAGCTTAACAAACGATCATCCGCAGAGCAGCTCAACTTGGACAATCTACGCCGCCAGCGGAAGACGGAAGCTGAAGCTGTGAACAGTCTTAAGAGCAAATTTGAGGGCACCGAGTGGCAGCTGCAGAGTCTGGAATCTGATAAACAGTCTCTGGAAGAGCGTCAAGAGTCGATCACCGAGGTCGTCACCACCGCTTCCAAGGACATCGAGCGCAAGAAAAAGGAGTTGAATACTCTTACTTCCGAACGATTACGGGTGTCTCAGATGAGAACGGAATTGGAAGAAAAACTTCAGGTCGTCTTGAAAAAGCTGCTCGAAGCTGATGATGGCAAGAAGCAGTCTGAAAAGGAAATCCGGACAAGGGAGTTGATCTCGACACTGAAGCGCATCTTCCCGGGTGTCAAAGGTCGAGTCAGCGATCTTTGCAAACCCAAGCAGAAGAAGTATAACGAAGCTGTCAGTACGGTTCTCGGACGACACTTCGATGCCATCGTTGTCGACAACGAGAAGACTGCTAAGGAGTGTATCCAGCACCTCCGTGACCAGAGAGCCGGACAGGCGACTTTCATTCCGCTCGAGACGATCCAGGTGAAGGCCTTCAACTCCAACCTCAAGGGTGTGCACCGTGGAATGCGTCCTGCGATTGAGACGGTGGACTATGAAGACTCCGTTTCCCGCGCTATCACCTATGCTTGTGGAAATGCCGTTGTTTGCGATGACCTTGCGACAGCCAAGTACCTCTGTTACGAACGAAACTTGGATGCCAAGACAGTCACTCTCGATGGTACAGTGATTCACAAGGGTGGTCTGATGACTGGTGGTCGTGGTCCTCAGCAAAGCTCTAAGCGCTGGGAAGACTCAGAAGTGGAGAACCTTCACAAGCTCAAGGATAAGCTCATGGCAGACCTTTCCAACCTACCCAAGGGCCACCGCAGGGGTACCGAAGAGGAAACTCTGCAGGGCGAACTGGTTGGTCTCGAGCAGCGTCTTGCCTATGCTCGCGATGAACTAAAGGCTTTGGAGAAGAATCTCAAGAGCAAGCACAGCGAGCTTGACTTCGTCAAGCGCCAGCTCGAAGACCTCCGGCCGAAGTACGCGGAGCGAAAGGAGACACTGGACGAGCTCGACCAATCGATTATAGAGACGCAAGAGTCGGTCAGCGGCGTCGAGGATGACATCTACCGCAAGTTCTGCAAGCGCCTTGGCTACGATAACATCCGTGAATACGAAGCACAACAAGGCTCGCTGCAGGAGGAGGCATCTCAGAAGAAGCTTGAGTTCACAACGCAAAAGAGCCGAATCGAGAACCAGCTCAGCTTCGAGAAACAACGTCTACAAGCTACAGTTGACCGTATCAGTGGTCTTGAAGCACAGCACCAGCGTGACGAGGGCTTGATCAAGGAACTCAAGGCAGAGCAGCAAAATATCCGCAATCAGCTCGATGAATTTGAGGCCGAGCTTGAGATCCTCCGCGAACGTCTGGGAGAGCAAAAGGAAGTCTACGGACAATCGGCAGAGAACCTTAACCAGCAACGAAGGGAACTGCAGAAGCGCAGCAAGAACGTCGAAGGGTCATTGAAGAATATTAGTGGTTTAGAGGCTGATATCCAGCGGAATTCGTCAAGCCGTTACACCCTTCTCCGGCGTTGCAAACTTGAAGATATTGACATTCCCTTGACTGAAAGCTCAAACTCGCTCGACCATCTTCCTATTGATGAGCTTGTCCAGACGGCTGATCCGGATGCCATGGATGTCGATGAGGATGCTAATGGCAGTGGTCAGGCTCTCGTGCAAGACTACGGCGTTGAGGTTGACTTTGACTCTCTAGGAGACTCCCTCAAGGAAGTAAGTGGTGGTCAAAGAAAGCTCCCATAGAAAATACATGCTCATACAGAAATAGGAATCCGACGAAAAACTCGAAGAAGAACTTCTGGAAAAGGTCAGGTCACTCAACAGCGACCTCGACAAGATGGCACCGAACACCCGCGCAATGGAGCGTCTCGAGAGTGTCGAGAACAAGCTTCGGAGTACTGAGAAGGACTTCGAAGATTCTCGGAAGCACTCGCGCAAGACAAAGGACGATTTTGAAGAGGTTATGCGCAAGCGTTCA